TCATTTAATATATATATGTGTGTGTGTGTATATATATATGTGTATATATATATATATATATATATATTTTCTTTTTTTAACGTCCACCTTAAGTCCAACTTAAGTTTTCCTTTCTTTTTCTTTTCTTTCTTTTTGATGCCATTGTTGTTTGGAATTTCTACATCTATCACAACTGCCTTTTTCTGTAGGTTGTCTACCATCACAATGTCTTGTTGGTTAGGCGTCACCTCTTGCTCAGGTTGGATCTGGAAGTCCCACAGGATCTTAGCTCTGGTAGTGGCCACCGCCTTCGGAGGTATCTCCATCGTTGACTAAGGGACTTTCAACCTACACTTTGCACAGGTGTTCCTGTACACTATTAGGACATTACTGCCGGGATCTTACACCCCCATCATATACTGTACTGTGTCAGAGGATTCTATGCACATTCTGGACCAGGGGTCTTATCTGGTGTAGTAGACACTGGCCTCTTTTGCCTTTGTATACAGGTCCTGTTCTTGATTTACCATGATTAGGCCCTCTTTGCTGTTTTTCTAAGAAGCCTTTTTCTAGCTCTTGCCTGGATTTAGGGGTTACCACAGCCACTTCCCTAATCTGTTAGTGCTACATGCCATCAAGAGGCTTATTCGTCCATGACGGTACATGTGACTTTTTCATCCTTCTGTGGATGTCAGCTTGCAGAGACACTCATCTAGCAGTTCATCAATGGAGGCCATCTTCCTGATGTATCCTTGGATCTTTGCTGTTGCATCATGGATAGTGGCTCTGACCCTCACTAGCCTGTGACCTCCTTTTTTCCAGTTAGCTGACAGTCTGTGTGCTGAAACCCTTCATTCTAAGGAAGTTTCTTGTCTTGATATCTGTGACTTTCGCCAGAGTCTTAATCTAATGACTGGCAGGGCTTATGTGCTGTTGGCTTTGTCTTTCCCATTCAGTTGAATATTCAGGACTACCCTTAATTTATATAGGTACCTGGTTGTGGGGATGTCTTTGTGGCCTCCTAACGACTGTATAAAATCAACATATTTACATATATCTAGTCACAATGTCACCCCAATGTCCTTTCTCTATCCTTTGGAGGTTTATCCCTGAGTTGATTCCTTGCTCATTCTTTATATACAACTTGATGTTGTCCATGTAGAAGAGGTGGTCCATGGTTGTCTCGCTTTGGAACTGCTATCCATAGCACTGAGGAACTACACTTGGTGTAAAAATGAGATGTTCAAATGTTTTTTTTTTCTGTTTCATTCTAATGTTGAGGTATTGATGAACAATTAATCTAAACACAAGAGACTGATGCAGGCAATACTTCATTACAATAAGAATGCAGTTTCAATAAGCTTTAGAATATGTCTGTATTCAACCAAACCATTAATATAAAACGTCTGAGCAATGAAAGATAGTCCTGTCCAGAATATCCTGTAGCTCTTTCATCCCACCCCACCGAAATAATTTAGAATATACAGGCTTTTAAAAGGTTTCTTAACCTTGACCAAGTAGCTGTTGTCTAATTTTATGGAAACAATGAAGAGTTAATGTCTAGTTGGAATGAATTAAAAAAATAAAAGACAAACATTAAAAAGGAGAATCCACAAAAGACCGACAACAGTAGAAAATGGACAAACTCAGATCTCCAGTGTAAAATGGCAACACTTATCTTCAGTGACTGGGTTGTGCACTCTTCTGGGTTTGATTTAAAATCTCAGTTTAGTGCTTTCTCGCAGTAATTATAATAAAAAGGAGGTCAAAAAGCGATAGCCTTGCAATGAACTTAAACTCCCCTTTCTGATGCCAGTGCATGAGGCTTGTTAGGTTCCAGCCCAAACCTGTTTTTGAGTTGACCTCAGTTTTCCAGTGCATGTGTTTCACACATACCACTTTTCAGAAGTATCACAAAAGAATTAGAGCAGCAGCTCAGTTCCACACAAAAAAGAGAAAAAAAATCCTGCATCTGGTCTTTTTGTAAAAGATACTGTCACCCCCACAGAAAAGATGAGTCAGACAGGAAGTGGGACAAAGACCCCTTTCAAAATAAAACACACACACCCCCTTGTAGATGCTTGTAGATGAAATCATGACTTTTCTAAAGAAACAAACTTGCAGCATAGTTGAACAGAGAAAAAATAAAGAATAGATGTTGAGATAGCCTGCCGGGACTCCAGCATTGTTGTTTTGTTCAAGTTTCCTTTTACAAAACTGTTTCGACTCCTGGTAAGAGCTGTGGTTACACTTTTTCCACATTTGAATTCCACGTTATACATGGGAATGTTCTCCCACAATTAGTCAACAACCAAGCTTAAAGGCTCATGAAAAGAGTCTTGGTGCGAAATTACATTATTTTATGGATGAAACAAAACCACATTTTTCTATTAATATTTGTATTACTATGGCCAATAAATGCATTGCAATCTCTCTGTGAGTGGACACATGGGAGATGGGTTTAGTCTCTGGGATGACAATCTTTCAATTGTTTTATCCTTCCTTTACAGCATTAAATACCGCACAGTCTCACTGTTTTAGCAAGTGACAAAGCCCTTCTGAACTTACAATGACAGGGGGTGGACCCACTAATTCAGAGTCAGATTTGTCACAGTGTAATTAGATCAAATGTATGTACACCTCTTTCCCCTGAAGTGTATCAATAGCAAGTTAGAGAGACAGTGGAATCATGAAATTTGTAATACTGTAATAAGTTTGTGGTCCTCCCTCTATTGATACTGGTGTCATCATTTTGTAATGACTAGAAGTGCTCCAATGGAAAGGACATGATTATTATCAGCCAAGTGTTATCCTTAATAATTTATCAGTAGTCACTAAAAAGTGCAGACAGACCTTTATTTATTTATTTTTCAAATGGAGGAAAGCTGTCTAGATGGTAAAGTGTGTACGAAAGACTTTGGTTAACCTATTAATGTTTATTTTATGCCATTGAAGCTTCTTATCCCTGAATTCTCTCTCCAACAGACATACACAAGCACATGAATAAATAATGCAAACAAAACACCCTGCTCCTTAAAGTCATTTTAATGTGGCTTATCAGCATTTGGACACATGTTCAATTCAGTTAATTTCAGTTTTATTATGATCAGGCAAAATCACAACAGATGTCACCTAAAGCGATTCAAAACTACATACAGTCACACCAAAGCTATTTTTCAATTGCTGTAGGTATATTTTAATTCCCTTTGTAATATGCATTCAGTCGCCTTATTTTATTGCATGCATAAAAGGACTGTCAGTCAGAGATTCCCTGAGTCCCATCAAAAGATAACGGCACACAAAAACATAATGGCATATTACAGTGACATTGCTCTAAAAGAGGCCCTGTGATGGCTGGCTACCTGTCCAGGGTGTACCCTGTCTCTTGTGCAGTGTTAGCTTGGATAGGTTTCCGCCCCCTCGTAACCCTACTAGCAATAAGGAGAACGGACAAAGAATGAATGAATGCTCTAAAATATCTGTCCAAAACTGATCCAGCAACAAAGAACACTTTTCCTTCACCTCAGTATGGTTTATTGTTAATATTTTTGGTCTATCTCCATTAGGTTTTCATTCAATCTTATTTAATACAATTTGCCCTTTAAAATTTATGTCCAAATTTTTGACAGGTCCTGTCTCAGAGGAGCTTTTATTATTTTCTACATTTTGACAGCTAAAGTAAAGTGTTTTATCTCCCTTTAGTAAATTGTTGCGAATGATAACCATGTTAACATACCAAGAGTTGTTTTAATGAATGATAATACTGATAATTATAATATAAATGGCTAGAATTATTTTATTAAACTGAGGCATAAGACCGGTATACTGGAAACCAGTACTAAGTTTATGTTGGCTAATGCCTTTCTTTTGTAACTAACAATAAATATACCTGTGGTGCTGTGTTTCACATCTCATTTGAATGTGTGTATGTGGTCATGAGGCTATAGACATATCGAGCTGTAAACCCTAGCCTAAAACGAATGTGAAGTGGCTGTCAGATTCCCACTGAAAAAAGTCCATCTTGACTCAGTGGACCACACCCCTCAAAGAAACTCCAGGCTGTTGAAGTTTACACACTGTGCATGATTCAAAAGGCATAGTATTTTTACCAGTAGAGTAAGATTGATATTCTGTCCTGTTTGCAACTATGTGGTTGGCGCAAGTGCTTACTGATGCTAATTTACCTAATGGGTACATGGCGTATTCAACAAAAACAGTGATTCACTTCATCGGTTTAATTAGTGAAGACATTTGGATAATTTGATTCAAATCAATATACGGAAAATAAAAATGCACATTTTGTAATTTGTTTCAAATTAGGTTTAATTGAATGATGTGCTGAATATGACAAAAAGAAAAACAATCCATTTGAAGCCTTTTTCATCAATCCTGGATATTTTTGGAGCACTAACATGGTTTTACATGATGAAAAACATTTAGTTTAGGCACTGTGTGCTCCCCAGACACTCTGACAGGTTTTGCAGCACTGAAGCATCTAGAATAATTGGTTTGTTGTTGCCATAGAAGTTGGATACCCAAAATGAACTGTCTGTGCATAACTATAGTATCGTATAAACTGTTACTTCTGTCATTGTATTTTACTTGTGGCTAGGAAGATTTTCAGAAAAGTATTTCTCATTTCAGCACTGAAATTGATATTTATGCAAATATCAAAGTTTTTTAACAATGTGTTTGAGATTTAAGTAATTGTCTACGAATAATTTGTTTTGTGATTTATTGTGAAATAATACAGAAATCCTCTTGCAAGTTAAAAAAGCAATAACAACACTTTGTTTTCTTTTCCCCCCTTGTCTTACAGAGAAATGTTCCTGTTCTGGACAACAGCAACTGGATTCAATGGTTTTCACAAGTCACTGCACAGACTGTGCTTTAAAGGATTATAGTGAAGGAGGTGGCTTCCTTCTGGAAAGTAAAGGCTGATTGTGTGTAGTTCACCAACACCGCATCTCCAGTCAGTATCTTTCGCTCGATGACAAAAACAATCTACTGGATCGCCATCCATGGTTTCTGCCCTAATCAAGACTGTATCATCCTATATTGAAAAGATTTATAAAGGAATGTTTACAAAGAAATTGGCAAACCCAATAAAGAAGAAAGAAAGAAGCGAAAATAAAGAGCCCAAATTGACCACTGATTTGCAAGCACACAATCCAACGCTTTCTACCACTCTGAAGACTACGGTTAAAAAGATTTCCAAATGCTCTTCGGCACGTAACATATCGCTTGAAGAGGACAACGGAAAGAACGACTGCTCATCTCTCTCACCCACTTTCAGTTATCGGGTAGCCATAGCAAACGGACTTCCAAAAAACTCTGTCTTTTTGAATAATAATGAAAGCATATTTCCTGAGGTTATTTCAATTGATAGTAACTACTCTGACTCTTTGAGTGACGCAAAACTTGTACAGAGACTGGACGAGCATAAATCACACACAATGCCAGTAAGACGAAACAGAAAGAGTCTCATAAGTTTGGCTCCCTCTGATGGCAGTTCTGAGGGTGAACGAGTGGAACGCTCCAGTTTACACACACTTAGGCTTGGTGCTCTACGCAAGTTAAGAAAATGGAAAAAGAGCCAGGAATGTGTCTCCTCAGACTCAGAGGTGAGCAACTGGAGGAAAACCCTGGGTATACGCAGCAAGTCTTTGGACCGTGCTGGACGGCAACAAAAAAGCTCAACCCTTGAGCCTGGCTCCTCGTCAACAGGTTGCATCAGTCAAACCCAAGATGTAATGGAAATGATCTTTAAGGAGCTTCAGGGTATCAGCCAGATAGAGACTGAACTATCTGAGCTTCGTGGCCATGTAAATGCTCTCAAGAGTTCCATTGATGAGATCTCCAGCAGTGTGGAGGTAGTTCAGAGTGAGATTGAACAGCTTCGCTCTGGATTTGTCCAGTCTAGAAGGGAAACACGTGATATTCATGATTATATTAAGCAAATTAGTCACCAGGCCAATAATTCAACCTTGCGGTTCCTCAACGTTCCTGAAGAAAAATCTGAAAAAACAGAAATCGTGATATACAAAATGCTAAAAGACAAAATGGGTTTCATTGATGCCCATAAAACAATTAAAATCGAGTTGGCTCATAGGTTAGGTCAGCAAAGAGAATGTTCTAATGCAAAACCTCGTCCTATTATTGTTATTTTTGCTACAACTCAAGATAGGGATATAGTTTTAAAAAAATGCTATAAACTTAAAGGAACAGGTATTACAGTGTCCACTGATAGCTTAACTCATGATGGAAAGGAGAGAAAAGACAAAGCGATGTCATCTTCACAAACATATGAAAGTATGGATATAAAGGTCTCAGGAAAAGATAAAGTTGTGGAGAGTGATGACTGGGACTCAATGGACAGTGATAAAGAACTGGATGAACTAAGTAGAAATAAATATGCAATGGTCATTTCAAAGCCTGTTCATAAGGCTAAATCGGACAAGAGGCGGGCCCATGAACATAGCCGTTCAGGAGATGAAGCAGGTTACTCAGGCACCGTTCACTATGCTGATGACTCTTACTATGACCCAGACAAGAACACAAAGGCTTACTACTCAGATATGACCTCTGGCTGGCTTTCCCAGAGTGACTATTCAACACCTAAGCTTAGCCGTTCAGAGTCTGACTGTTCAAAACTTTGTCAATCATACTCAGAAGACTTTTCAGAAAGTCAGTACTTTACAAGGGCAAATGGATCCTCCCTTCTGTCCTCCTCTGATCAGGAACTGTGGCAGAGAAAACAAGAGGATATGGCCTCCTCTTGGTATGCTAGCCCTGGTCACCCTATTGGCCACGATAATCAAACTTATGAACATAATGAGGCTGAGACCACAGAAACCATTGATAGCGGAGTTAGCAATGGACTTGTTTGTATGTCAGGGGATAGAAGCCACTACAGTGGCTCCCAGCTGTCTCTGCAGGGTGATCTATCTCCTTGGAAAGACTGGCATCATCTGGAGCAGGGTGCTGACTCTGGGTTAGAAGCCTCTATAGAGGTTAGCAGCCCCTTTGATCCAACAACCATACCTGGTTTTCCAGAGAACATCACTAAATGCCAGGAAGTTGATTTACAGTTTGAGGGTGATGAAGAATTCATGATGCTAGATAGAGAATCTTCCTTACCACCTATAACCACCCACATTATTCCTCCCATCACAGAGCGTGAATCTGTCAAGACTTCCTCACGGCAGTCTAAAGAGGGATCAAAGATAATTGCAAAAGAAACTAAGAAAGGAACATCTAAAGATGCCCCCAAAACTGCAGCTAAAGTGACACAAAAACAAAGTAAACCTTCCCCCAAAGAGGAAAGCATCAAAATATTGCCGAAAGAAAGTTCAAAGGTTTCTGCAAAGGTCACACCTAGAATATCATCTAAAACAGCCCCTAAAGAGTCACCAAAGGAGATATCACAATCAGCTGTGAAAGAACGTTCTCCAACTATCCAGAAAGATAGTCCTAAACTTGCACCAAAAGAAACCACAAAGTCCGTAGTTAAGGAGGTGTCTAAAGTAACACCAAAGGTTAATTCGAGTGAAGCTGTTAAGGTCACTTCTAAAGTGATGCCCAAAGACAGCCCGATAATAACTCCAAGAGAAAGCCCTAAAGAGTCACCTAAAGAGAGCCCAAAAATAACCCCAATTGATACCCCTGTTTTAACCCCTGCCTCCACCCCTAAAGAGTCTCCTAAAGAGTCACCTAAAATCATTGCAAAAGAACCCAAACAAGGTATACCTAAAGATAGTTTAAAGGTTGTTGCTAAGGAAGTCCCCAAGGAAGCTTCAAAACCACCCTTCAAAGAGCCCCCAGAGGAGATGTCAAAAGCAGTATCTGAGGAGGTCACGAAAGTACCCATTAAAGATGTTTCTAAGATTATACACACAGAAACTCCAAAAACAGCCGCAAAAGAGAGTCCTAAAGTGAATGCCAAAGAGACAACTAACGTAGTTCTGGCAGAACCATCAACAGTTACACCAAAAATAGCTTCCAAGGATGTCACAAAGGAAACAGTCAAAACAGGTTCCAAAGAAAAATTTCCTGAACTAGATGTTAATCATAGCTTTCACCAGCCCCCGAGCAAGTCCACAAGTATGTATCGCAGCCAGAGTGAGATTCGAACAGAGAAGGTAGAGGAGGTTCCCAAGTCTTGGAGCAGTAGACTTAGTATCGATCTCAGTGAAAAGTCATTTGGTTTTGGATTTGGATCCACTCTTCAGAGAGCTAAGTCTGCTTTGGAGGTAGTCTGGAAATCTGGATCACAGAATACACCTGCTCCTCCTGAGGAACCTGCCAACTCCTCGTCAACATTCATGGGTCGTTTCCGCACCCTGCCCACTCCCACTGCTAATAACTCCACAACTACAATAGACTCAGAGGCCCACATAGAAACCACCCTCCATAAACCAAAGGAGGAGAAAAAATGTGCAGAAGCAAGGGAACAATCAGTGGACAGTGAGACCGACTATGTTGAAGTGATGGAGCAGGTGCTAGCTAACCTGGAAAACAGGACTAACATTAATGACACTGAGGAGAATGCTGAGGTTGGGCAAGAGTGTGAGACCTCTCAGGACTATGATGCATCTGATGACATTGAGGCCATCCAAGACAATGATGAATCTCAGGATATTGAGGTTTCTCAAGATTTTGAAGCCCCAGGTGATTATGTGGCAGCTAAAGAGGCACGTGTTCTGGAATATGATTGCAGTTTGGATGAGCAGTATGATGAAGAGTACAATGATGATAATGAAACCCAGCTAACCGAGGATGCTGATGATTATGATGCCATGATTGAATACGTCGATGTTGAAGAACCGGACGAGACTGAGGACAATGATGTGACAGAGGAGATGGAAGAGGGTGATGAAGAGTTTGAGGATGTAGAAGAGATAGCAGAGGAGGCTGTTGAGGTGTCTGACAAAGTGGAACAAAGTCAGGAGGATGAAAACAAAAATGTGCCAGAGGAGAAGCCTGTGGAAGCACCACCCAAGAAGCGCATTCGACCCACATTCAAAGAGGCGGCATTGAGGGCCTACAGGAAGCAGATGGCTGAACTGGAGCAGCAGATCCTTGCGGGGGGTAGGGTGTATTTTCCTTACAGTTTGTCACAATGTCCCTTACATTTTCTAATGTCCTACCTGAGGTTGAATCTATATTTGCATAAAGTCACTAAAGATAGCTATTAACCCTTTAACATTCAGCTCAACTACTTGATAGAGCTAATTTTCCACTGATTATAATTGGTCATTGGATAGACTAGAGGAGGTAACCTTACTAAAACCAAATCTAAAATTAAATTTAGGTACATAGTGCCTAAATAAAATGAGTCATAACATTACTTTTTTAAATTTCACACTTTTTCCAATAAGTGTCACCCCAACTATCTGTGAGGAAAGCATTGATCCTCCTTGTTATTGCCCAAAGGAAATGTAAAAAAGGTAAAGACATATTTCCCCCTCTTTTTTCTAAATAAAAGTGTTCATGTAAGCAAAGCATGGACAGTTATATGGACCTTTTTTTGACAACACACAACTTTGAATCATGATTAATTCATTTTACTCACCAAGAAAAGTTACACATAAGTGAATGGTTTCTGTATTGGTGTGTTGATAGTGGCAATGGTGATATTAAAACTGTAGTAAAAGACTGCCACACAACCTTTTCTGTTGATCTTTAAAGTGAAAGCTGAGCTAGCATCTTCCTTCACTTGTTCATAGTGACTGAAAACATGAGAGAAATCTGTGATTGTGTCAGCTGTTACATTAAGCAAATTCAACACAAGGCTTTGTATTGACATACCATTAGATAGATAGATATAATACTTTATTCATCCCCAAAGGGAAATTGGGACTATTGGGAATATCTGCAACGGCAGTACTGTACTTCTGCACTGCAGTGTTTTAAATTATAAGTGGTTTAGGACAGAGAACTGTTCCAATTCTCTCATTTCGCTCTTAGTATCGTGCTTTTGCTTCACTGCACCAGTCGGCTCGAATTAAATTGGTGTATAGTGGATGGGTCAAGGCCTGCGGTGAAAATTAAGCTGATTCATTGATGAGTCTTCACCTGGCATAAAAAAGACAAGAGGGAATTCCCTCACTTAAGTAAAATCAGAAGCTCTTGACCTACATGCATTTCTGCAACGGTTGTACTCACAGAGTGGTAGTTTTGTGCAGGATACAAAGCCACTGTAAGTGTGAGAGGAATGTGTTCTATTTTTTCCAAAGGCAAATTCAACATGCTGTATTTTGCAATATTTTACAGAGATTTAATTTAATCTCACACTTTCCATAATCTGTAAATCTTAATTTGTATCTTTACTATAATTAATGCAATATTTCTTCAATCACTGTGTTCAGTTTAGTTAGCTTTACACCTGAGTAAGGTAGAAGAGATAATGCATATTAAGGCCTGTTCAGTCATTGAGATTCACTCCCAAAAAAGATGGTAAACTAAATGAACCTATGATTGATTTTAAACATCACATTTAAGAGTAACAGAATTGTGACCTATGCAAACCTATGTAATTGAGCTTTCAGTCCCCCACATTAGCCGTCCAACTGCATTTGCTTAGCTGCAACTAATCAAATGCTGAGAAAAATGAAAAGCCGATCGTTATCTTAAACTCGTCACATGTTTTATACGTTTGTACAGTGTGGCATTAAACACACTCTCAGCATGACTAATCTAATTTAATAAATAAGACCTGTTTGGAAATTACATCTAGTTAAATATAATTTCTTCAATGTTGAATTGTTATCCCAAATTTTAGAAAACTTTGTCTATTATGTCTCATGTCCAGTATAGATTTAGTAGTAGTCAGAGACAGATTGTTTAATAATAGTTTTACTACGTATAGCTGTATAATAATGCATGCATTACACACCCATGTGTAGAATTATGGCTTCATGTCTTGTCTCTGCTGTGTGCTCCTCATGCTTGAGTTTGAAGCATGCTGGCTGGTTTATGTGGGAGCTGAGGGGAGTCTCAGCAGTGCTGCCTCTCCTGCCAGGCCAATCTTCAACTGACTAGAGCAGTGTCTGTATTCAGATGCTAATTCACACTCCCAAGGGCATACTGTAACCAGGTCAGCCTTGCTTGGAATATTTATAGAGGTCTGCAGCTAGTGAAGTTTGGTGTTTGCTCCTCAGGGACTAAAGGAGGTAAACCCCTCTTTTTGCTTAACTCACCACTTCTCCAAAAAGTGTCGACATTAGAAAAATGCAGATAAGTTTCATTAGGTGATTCCAGCCAAGTCGGAGCCACAACCGTTTGAGTATGACGGGGGAAAAAAGGGGGAGAGCCTGTTTTTCACAGATTCACATGAAACACCTATGACTTTGTACTGCTTTATGTTTTGCTGTGTTGACACTAAATTGTCACCACAAACACCATGCTTGTACTTTTCACCCAGATTTTGCAAAAGTGAAATTGAAAATTAACTTTGACTTGGATAAAATACATCTGCAAGTTAAATTTCAAGGCATGTTTATTAAATAACAAATAAACCCTTAGACTCTAAAGTAAATAGTAATTTATTTGTGGGTGTATGCCATCAAATGTTATTTTGTCCTCACCTGTTTTATGTGAAGATTGAAGATGCTTGAGCCCTCCCATTTGGACGTCAAATCTATCTAGATTTTTCTATATCTCTTACCTTTTTACATGTACTCTGAGTTTCAAAACATGAGCTCAAGATTTTAGAAGTGGACACAGGCTTTTCTCCTATTTTTCCAGATAACCCGTGTTTTTCAAAAACGGTTTGGAAATATGTTCATAGTCTCAGGTATTGGCAGTATTGGCATGTGATTGTAGTGCACTGTCACACGGCTCATATCTGATCTTGCAAGGATCACTTATAACTTCAATTTTTTGATTTATCTATATATTTATTTTTTGTGCTGGATTCTGTCTATCATTTCATGTGTGTATTTGTAGTTTCTACCCCCTGGGAGTGCTGGAGCGTTTGTCTATCCTGTTAGCATTATCAGTCAGGTGCAAGTTCTTTTTACTCCAGAGAGCCTTGATCTATGTTCTTCGTGTTCACATAAGTAGACACTAAAACTGAAAGGATTTACTACTACTGTTGCTAGCTCAGCAAGGCTTTGCTCCACATACACACCTACACGTAGAGTGGTTTTCTACCAATCAATTACATTTTTGTTCCACAGATTTAAGGCACCTGTGAAATGAGGTTTGTATCAGCAGCCTGTGGCCTATCTTTGTGGTCTGGCTTTATCTGGTGCTGCTGCTGAGTTGCTGGTAGACTAGATGGCTCTATCTTGTATAGCTGTGCTGAAAGAAGCTTAGCTGATCGCTGTCCATGGGACCACCGCAGCTTTGCACTCACTGGGTGCAGTTTTGAAGATTGCGTTTATCCTTCGTTGTCAGGACCAATACATTGACACATTTGTCCAGAAGAGGGTCTCACATCATTTCATAAAGCGTAACATGCATCCCCTGGAAAAACTTATTTTATTTTGTTGAAATACCAGTGTTTCAATAAGGACCACTCATAAAGCAAAGATAAACAAGTTTTGTGATTACATAGTTTAAAAGATTCCTCAGGATACAGGTTTACAAGTTACATTGTGATCTCAGTCACTGTCCAGGTTCTTATTTTGATATTAATCAGTTTATATATTTGACTTTGGCAGGCTTTAACTATCAAGCAAACAGACGAAAAAACATAGCAAATGACAAGATGACAAAAAATGTTATTTATCACATAACATGTACTGGCATAGCCACAGTGAACCACACATTATGCTGTTGTAGGGTGGTGGCGGTTGGATATTTCTCTTGTGAACAGCTGTATTCTGTTGGTAACACATTATAATGCAATTATGCCGCTATATATCACACATGGATCAATAGCACAGTAATTACACCTCTGCAGTCTTGGCCCCTGTTGTCATCTCTAAAATGACAGCACGATACCAACTACTTATGTCTGCCTAATGTTCCATTTCCCCATAGCTGTGAGTCTTAACTTAATTAATTTCATCAACCGGTGGCAAATTTTTAAATTATTTTTTAAAATGTATTCAGCATTTTCAATTTTGTTAGTAGGAAATAAAGTTGCCTTTTCAACCTTCAGAAAAAGAAGACTAATTTTTAATACAGCTTTCCGCTGCTGTTGCTGTAAATCGTCTTCCAATGTTCAAAACCCTTCTGCCTGAGGTGCATGTTGACTCTGACTCTATTTTTTGCATAAACTGTTTGGCAAAACAGACTTTTGTCATCACACAGTGAAAGTAGATCAGTGTACTAAGCATGTGTATTTTCTAGTGAGCTAATCCTGGCTAACTCTTCACCCTCTTTTCTCCTTTCAGACGCCAGTGTTCTGGATACTCAGGTTTTAAGTCCTTGTTTATCTTCACCTAATGGGACACGTATGATTTCCTTGCATGTGCCTGTGTTTTTATTTTGCTATGTACGGTATCCTCATTTGTGTCTCATCTACTGTAGTCAGTTATGTGTGTAAATTAGTTTTTTTGTTTTCCTGTGGATGAATAAGTTATATCTCTTGGAATTTAAGAGAGTGCAGCATGCATCTTTGAGCCATTTGCTGTCACATTGTGTTGGTTATCCTTTTAATTTTTTTTCCCTTAAAATGACATGATTTGAAATGGACATGTGGTCAGTGAGGAGGGAGGGTTACACGATGGGCAGGTTTCATTTGAAGCTTAAAGAGCAGAAAAACACTGAGACATGAGCCTGAAAACGACACTATTGTGGAATGATTGGGTCTTTTGCCTGTCGTTCTCTCCCTGTCTCTTCTCTCATCTTGGTCTGACCTGCATTTCACATCGTGAACTTTGTTTTGTGTAGTGCTGAGTGCACGTTCCATGCATTTCTATTCTTACACTGTGCTCCCTCTATCCTCTGCAGCCTCGCAGTATTTTGGATCCCAAAGTGCTCGGTTTGCAGTCTGGAGGGTGAGTGCAAGATAACACACTGATCTGATTGGTGTGCAATCAGACTGATTTCAGCTAATGTGCTGTTTTGTTCCCTCCTGCTGAGGCACATGTTACTGAAATGTTAGTTCTCTGGAAAGCAGCTTCAAGTGAGGTTAAACCCCCTGTCACAGTATGTGGCCACGAAGAGAATCCAGAATGCTTTTTGCTCACAGAATGTTTGTTTTACAGGTGTGCTTAACTTTATTAAAACATTTGTTTATTTTAGTTTTTCTCAAACTTAGACCAATTCTGAAAGCTACAATGATAAAGGAGATAATATTAAAGTTTCTTCAAGGAATGAGACAAAGGCATTTTCAGCTTTTCATACTGTCTTTTTATGTTGTGATTTGGCGCTATATAAATAAAGTTGAATTGGATATAATTGATAATTGAATTTTAAGGGGAAAAACATTGATGTTGTATGTGCAGTGTGAAAAGCTTGATCTGCGTTTTAGAATTTAGGCCTTAATGTAGAATTGTAGATTGTAGATAGAAAAAGACTAAGCGTTAATTTTTGAGGCAGCAATTTTCCCCTTAATATTAGCATTCATTCTAGTCTACTTGTCTTCTGGTCTGTGCCATGTGATGGAAAAAGGAAGAGGTGAGACAGGTTCAAAAGGAGGCATGATCTATGATGTGTGCAGGATGTGTAAATCAAGACACCCAGTTCAGTGCAGTAATGTGTCCTCCAGCATGGCATTATTATGATATTAATACACCTTAAATCTGTCTGCCACTCCAGGACTGGCAGCATTCTTTATGGTATTGACAGCATGCCAGATTTACGCCGCAAGAGGACAGTGCCTCTTGTCCGAGACCTGGTGAGTCATCTGCTTCAACAAGGTTATGTGTGATGTATGTTGACTCTATCTAAGTGACCCCGTGTAATACCACAGTAGTGGAATCCTGCACTGTGTGAGTACGGACCCGTGTTAAGCACAACAATATTATTACTGGCAACCTAATAGAAGGCGTTTTTTCCTTTTCTTTGGCAGTTTATTAACATTATATAATACACTGAGTGCTTTCGTAATAAACTGTCAACATTTTAATTAAGTGGTTATTAAAAGTGTGTATTATTTAGGCATTTTTATTGCATTGTATGTGTTGATTTGAAATACTTCACGCAAATATGTAGGGCACAACATGCAAAAATGAGCCATTTTACAGCTGCTACAATGTATGATATAAAATATGTGGTATACAATATTTAAGATATTATGGTGATGCCTCACCATTTGTTTTTATTGCCAAATAATGTGTAATAAATATCCCACAGAGGGGGCTGTTATAGTGAGGTCCACTCTAGCACTGTAGCACATGGTTGGTCTTTGTGCCAGACGACAGACTGTCATGATGCCAGTAATTTTCATGTGTGTTTGTACTGTAACTGTCTGTCCATTATGTGCCACACAGTGTGTCTGTCTTTGTGATTGTTTGTTTCTCATCTTTGAGTATCTGAGTCAAAACAATTCAAATGTTAAAAGCACTCTTTGAGATTATATTCTATTACAAACAATCTGTTGACTATTTGTTTGGGTTAATTTTAAAGCAGCTGATAGTGCAGGTTGATGTCACATGGATGCTGATGAATGTCTATATCACAGTTAAAAACATGAGTTGATGCTGTATTTGTCCATATCTCTCATTAAATTAATAACCAACAATGTTTTGGTAAGTATGGGTTGTCGTTTTTTAAATCTTTTTGTTTCTTTGGGTTTTGCGTGTATATTTGCCATTCCTACATGGACCCATAAAAGCTATGGGTAATATTTTTAAGTGGGTTGTCAGATTTCAGCCTTGCCGAAGCTCCCATGTTGTCAACTTTTTTTGTTGCTCGGCAGGTGTCAACAAATTCGTATATACTTTTGAAATGTTGACAACTCAACACAAAAATATATCAGAGAGACTTCATTGACTTCTGATTTAATTGTGTGAGGCTTTTAAATCATGTAAAAGTGACACTGAGCAGGCCTTTTACACATGGGATGAAGTCAGTAGTCAGCAAAGAAATTGGTTTCCTGTCATGCCTCTCCTTTGTCAATGTCCCCCATTTGCTGTGTGATTGCTTCAGGGCAGCAACAGCGTTTGATTGGAAAGGACAATAGGGTTCCCCCAGTTTTATGGCGGGACGCAAAAGTATAACCGAACAACAAACGAACGTTGATGATCAAAACACAAAGCACTGATAGATAACCTCTGGATGCAGGGTCATATTATTTTGCCCGCAGCAACCTCAGCAGTGCTGGTGCATGTTGATAAAACTTACATCAACAATCACAGTTCATGTAGAGGTGACATCTTCTCCTACATTTTCCATGGCTTCCATGGATCTTTACCATAGCTGGGCTGTGTAGACGAGAGGGTCTTGGTAAAGACTGATCCAATATTGTCAGCTGTCCGTGTCTGCATTCCTCTGTTATGTAACTACCCTCAGTGTGGGGTACATCAATCTCTGCTCACCCAAGACTGGTGAATATCAATATAACAGCTAATGTACATATATGTATGGATGTTTGTGCGTCATATATGTGTGCGCGGGTATTCCCTGTTTGTGTTTGCAAGAGTGCCTTGTATGAGTGCGTAAAGGTCAGGAATAATCTGTGTGTGTCTGCGTGCGAGTGTGTATTTGCGTGCGAGTCGGTGTTGTACAGTACAGCTGGCTTCACCCATACATGAATGTGTTCGTCTTGTGTGTCTCTGTTTTTGTCAAACTATGAGCAGAGCAGACAGCAGAAAATATGATCAAAGCTTCATTCAATAAATAAATTGTAAAAAAAAAAAAAAAAATGCCAAGCATGACTGCAGTTTAGTTAGCAGTGCATGAGAGGATAAAGAATCATGCAGCAGCTGTATAATCTTAATGCATAACTGAATCTTTCTCAGCTCTTTGCCCCAACCAGCAGTCCTGCATGGCAGTTGAGACACGTTTGTGCTCAGAATGGAGGATACATGTAACTCCTCTGCTGTTTGTGCTTTTAGGATTAAAATTCCCTGCCTTTGTCTGATAAAGTTTTCCTCTTTCTTTCAATCTCCGATCATGACCGCTTGGGAATTTGCAGGCTTTGGTAAGTTATCTTCTTTGTCTTAAAGATCTGAGTCATGTTAGAGATTTATGTCCAGACCTTATTATCTGTTGTTTAATTGTACTTTTACCCTCTAGCAAATAGTTTTGACAGTTTTGCTTTGTGCTTTTAAACTTTCTAAAGAAAAAACTTGCTTCAAATAAATCCAGTCATACAAAAAGAAGATAATATTTTAGTATATAGAGATAATATTCTTCTTCAACTTTGTCTACTGTCTTTCTCTTTCCTCAGACACTCACTGCTCGAAAGGCAGGCATTTCGTTTGCTCTGGTGAACCGGTCCACTCTAAATAATGAGGAACTGGTGAGTTTGTAGAAATTCTTGGTGCCATTCCATCAACTCAGCTGTCAGTGGCTTGATACTTGGGCATACCCTGGGGAGCTCAGTCCATCACACCGTTAACCCATTTCTAATAGAATCACGACTTAAAGTCATTTCTGTGGAATTTGTGAGGAATCCAGTGCACCCAAAACATCAAGGGCAGAATGCAAACATTGAAAGAAAGCAGAATATTCCTGTTACGGTAGGATACCACAGCTAACGACGGAATCTGGTAGGCTAGGCCTTTGGTGTCATTCTTTATAAGCTTTTACAGCTGTGATTTCCTCTATAGTCTTTGTTCCACAGAATTTTGGACAATTTTAACCAGAATACAAGATTTCAAAATTAAAATGATAAAGTTTCTCTTCATCATTAAATGCACATGTCATCTGTCTGTCCTCTTTGTCAAAGCTAATTGTAATTTGCAAATTGAATGTTTGTGGCCAGCTACTCACTCTCTTTTATGTGCTCTCACACTTACATTTGGGTCTAACTTAGAAAGTAAGTGGTGCCCAGTCTTTTGGTTTAGACAATGTTCCAATTAGCAATAGGGACTGCACATTGAGGGTGACTGAGCCATAGAGAAAGGGCAGAATGCTTCAGTCGATGGTATGAGACACTTTTGTGTCGACCTCTAAAGCTCTCTCTCTGCATTAATTGATTGCAATTCTTCCCTCCCTGAGGGAAGATGGCGTAACAGGATGCAAACAGCAGGGGAGAGCAGTTTCTCACCATAAGAAAGAAGCATAATATTTCATTTCTGCTGATGTGCAACAAGCATCTGCGTAAGCCTACAATATTACTGGATTTATATGAGCTCTGCACATTGCACACGTCTTTTTTTATCAAGTCAATATGGCCCCCTTAATTTATGTGCATGCTCATATCACTCAGTGATTCCTTATGGTCCACATCTAAACTTGAGCTATGTTGACAGGGTCTTTATTGCTTGATAATTGTCATGGAAGTGACTAAAGACGCTTAAGGGATGAACAATTATACCCGAGAGGTAGGAGAATTCATGTGATGCTGCACAGGGTTCTTTCATCATTGATGGAGGGTTTGTATAAGCTTTCACTGGTTACACTGTAGTGATGACGAGTTGATCACCACAGATTGTCCAGTATTATGACTTAGAATGCATAAGGAAGACTTTGATAATTGCATGAGGGTAACTGATTTCAGGAAAAAAAAAGAGTTGCAGATTATGTGCTCATGGAAAGTAGGACGAGCAGATGTCAGTTTTATCTGCTGCACTAAGTCCAGCAGAGTGTTTCCCTTTGAGAGCTGCTACAGCCTTTGGTAAACAACCATATGTTGTTTAGTTGTAAAGGAGTTAGAGATACACAAGAAAACAGAGATCAAATGAAAAGTGAGGAAAAAACAGAAATTAAGAGAGAACGGGAGACGATCGGTGTAGAAAGTGATTTATCATTTGGACCCCCTACTTTTGCTACCACTTCTCAGGCAGCCATGTTGAACAATCTGCTCTTGCTGGGGAAACATTGATTTGATCAGAATCAGAATCAGAATCAGAATTGGGGTTTATTGCCAAGTAGGTTTACACATACAAGGAATTTGCTTTGGTGAAAGCACCGAGGCAGCTCGATATTATATTGATATTTATAACATACTCTTTTTCCATCCTCTGAATAACTGACTTTCCCCCCCGTTAAGGCAGCATATTTTGATTTAAATATTTGACTTAACCTATGCATGGACCAGCCCCTCAATATTGCGTTCCCTCTTGCTTTCCCTGCATCAGTTTTTTAGAGCAGAAAGCAACATTACGTTTGGGCAAAATAACTGCTTCTGTGTCCTCTCAATGTTTTGAGCCGCATGTGATTTGAGCACTTCAGCCTTTTTAAAAGTGACTGTGAACCCAATGAGAGACTATGTTTATCTACTGAGACAAGGCTCTGACTTTTACAAAGAGAGAGGAAGTTGCAATCTGACAGGAATCAAGGAGTATCTGGACCTCAGATGTGATGCGCTGCTGAAAGTCTATTCAGATATCGTCAGGCACCATTCTAATAGCACAAAGTACAATTTTGTTAATAATTACTTGCAAAAATATACCTGTCTCAGTAATTATTGATGATCTTTGCAATCATGCTGTGTGGGGACAGACAGTAGATTGAATTTAAGATGCTGTTAATCGTCTAAATTGTATGCCTTGGTATTATGGCTTTAAAGGAAGGTATGTTGGTAAGGACCTAGACTATAGAATAGTTGCCAACGACAGAAGGCTTGAACAGAATGATGAGGATAGCGCTGTCAATGAAGTGTTTGACAAGGACAATAGGTGGTGAAATTGGAAAGCATGGGTGATAGGAGGAGGAGGAGAGATTAGATTCTTCCCTGTCATGTTGCTCTCGGGCACAGGCTGCAGCCGTCACTCAATTCTCGCTGTGTGTTTCACAAAATCACCAGGGTTACCTCACAGTGTAACACATGAGGCTGACACATGCAGCACTCTCCTCACAGCTGCTGCACAGTGGGAGGACAGAGAGAGGGAAATGCATGGCGAAAACAAGACTGAAAAAGACTAGGTGGAGAAAGAAATATTAAAATACCACTCATGTTGTTAAAAAAAATTATCAATCCATATACTGCATTTTATAATTGCATACTGAAACTCTTGATTTTTACTTTGTCGATAAAATAGAGTATAATAGATAGACCTAATTTTCAAAAACATTGGACTCATTTATTTATTTTCTTATTGCAGATAAATCCCTGACATCAGCTTCATCTCATGGCTCTCAGACTAAAGTGTGCATCTGTGTTTCATGAGAGTTCCACCATTGTTCCCGTTTGTGTATCAGCCGTGTTTCACAGTAGCCTTGTTAGCTATCTCTATTTGCAAATTTGTGCCTTCAAGTGTGTCACCCTTGCTAGTGCACCAGTAGCTAAACACCATGGATGGCATTCAGGTGTTAAAGCACAGTGTCAACACTCTGGTGGCTAGCATAGGGAGACTGGTGGTGCTGGGAGGAAGTGGACCTCAGCGGAAGTATGGAAGATTTATCCAGCTGCCATAGATCTCCCTCTCTTTCTCTGTCAGTCTCTCTCTGCCTCAATCCGGATAATGCTCACTTTTAAAAAACCTTATTTACAGCATCCATCGATTCAGCTTTCAGTAATTGGCAGTCTTTGCCCGTTTTCTAGCCGCCGTGTATTGCAAGACCGCCGCAGTGAAGCATTCATTAGAGGAAATTTCTGTCACGCAGCAGTCAGTCCAGACAGGCCTCCTGCAGACTTTACTGTTCGGTTTGAAGAGCTTTACTCAATTATTGTTCAGCTGACCACGTCTTTAATGATGAGATCATCTTTAAACATGGCAACACCACGCCCAACAACGACATGAATTGTAGTTTTGGTTTTCTTCAAGTTCTACAGTTTCCAAACCTAGTGCAGGGGTCTATAACCAATGTCAACTGACTCAAAATGCACCGTTTGAATGTACTGAGATTGCATTTTTGCTTAAGTTAAGTTGTTAGTATGTGTTATACTACCAATATCTGGTTTGGTGTGTTAATTTTTGTCGAATATTTTAAAGTTATAATAAGTTAAACAAAAACATTTCATCATATCAGACTTTCCTCACCAGGGGCAGACGCTTCATTTTTTGATAATGAGCTTGAAATCTTTTGAGGAAAAAAATGGGGCTCAAACTTACTTTAATTAACTTTTGAAGTTATTATGAAGTTTTGATTTCTCCGTCTGATAAAACCACAGGGCCTTTTCTGGCCTGACATTGTTTTCATACCTTACTATCTCTTCTTTTCCTCTGCCTTTTTCCCAGAAACTGCACGTCTTCAAGAAGACTCTCCAGGCTTTGATCTACCCGATTTCATCCACCACACCCCATAATTTTGAGGTGTGGACGGCAACTGCTCCCACCTACTGCCATGAGTGTGAGGGTCTCCTTTGGGGCATTGCCCGTCAGGGCATGCGCTGCTCCGAGTGTGGCGTTAAATGCCACGAGAAGTGCCAGGACCTGCTCAATGCAGATTGTTTACAAAGTAAGGGGGTTTATACATTTATACATCAACACACTGACAGCCTCAGGCTGAGAGTTCTTTCCTCTCATCCACATATGCTTTGAAGTAAACTAACTCGCAGTCACGTACCTCTTCTTCTGAGTAAAGTCTATCTGTTTGTGAGTTTGTATTTTTATGATAGGAATTGTTTCTTTTATTTGTACGCTTGTTTAATGATTAACTGAAATGATTACTTCTCAAAGAAAAACCATTGTTCATCTGAGGTTCTGCTATTGTGGCACCGAATGTGTGATGTTTAATTTTTTCCACCTTTCATTAACGTTGCCACTACCTATATTCTGAGTCTTACAGTCCCTTTAAATGCCACTATGTTGGCTTGTGTGATACATAGAATTGCTGGCCCTTTATTCAGTGCTGCAGGATTCCTTTGTGTTGCTCTCTTAGCTACTGGCACTAATTGCAGCAGGTACATCCGTATTATTAGAGGGTAGACTAAGAGACCAATGTGATTTTTAAAAATTGTTCTTTCGGCAATGGCTCTACACTCTTAAGTGGATTAGCTAAACCTAGAAAAGGCATAAAACCCTGATGTGTAACATTCATCGTAGCATAACAGTGTTTTGTGCTAGAAAATGTGATCCAATTGATTACATTTTATGACATATTCTACAATCTACTGATACATAATTGTATGATCAGGTATTGAGAGGCAACCAATCACTACTTTGTCTTCAATCTTACAGACCCTCTTTAAAACAACAAAAAGCATGCGGTTGTAGTTGATGGTGCTGGAACATTGTACATGCAGTGGACTCGCAGTCCTAGTAATAGAGGTGGTGTTTGACACAAGTTTAGCAAGGTGTGCACATGGACTTATAGGTTAGTGTTAGACAGAAAGACAGTGTGACTAATAAAACCAAAATCAATGGATCCTGGACTAAGTAAACTCTTTGACTTTTTCAGGGGCTGTGGAAAAAAGCTCTAAGCATGGAGCAGAAGACAAGACTCAAAATATCATCATGGCCATGAAGGAGCGCATGAAGATAAGAGAGAAGAATCGCCCCGAGGTGTTCGAGGTGATCCAGGAAATGTTTGAAATTTCCAAAGAAGAATTTACTACACATCTGAAAACAGCAAAACAGGCTGTGCTGGACGGGACCTCCAAGTGGTCTGCCAAAATCAGCATAACAGGTAATACTGCCTTCTGATCAGAAAAAACATTGACACTAGAGTTAGATTGTATAGACTTAGATACTAGACTTATATCATACTTCGATAGTAAATCATACCATGATGGAAACTTTTTTACTAAAAGACAGTTAGTTATGTGATGTGACATGATTACATGAGAATATGAGCTTTAAGTCTAAATTCTAAGTCGAATACCAAATCAAGAAAATTGTCAGTGGTATTCTCATATGGTATCAATTACTTTGAATTGGTCAAAGGTCCCACGTTCATTATTGTGCAACATTAAACCTCAGGTGCAGTACAAATATGATTAGAGTTAGAAATAGAAACTGACAACATAAAGTGGAAATAAATTATTGTTGGGATATTTCAATGTGAATATTATTTTTGCGGACAGTCATTAATTATTGCTTAGTCATTTTGTAGAGGCTGTGAGATAAGGGAACACATTCTTACACTATCTACTTGATCCATGTAGTAGCAGTGGCATATTCTTTGATAATACATAGTCTATTAATTTATCTATCAGTTTATGGGAGTAGTCACAGAGCTTGCCAAATGTTAAATGGCAGTATGTTGACAATGGAACAATTAAGAGGCCATAATGAATACAGTAACAAGGTTATGACGACTTTCTGTTTTTATTGAAGACTGCTTAACTCAGACTGACAGAGATCTTTATGTCTTTTTTTTATCAGCTCCACTGATGAATATAGGGCATTCATTTTATGCATTAATCCACTTTCATGAGTGACAATAAGTTCTTCAGATAACATTTTAAGTAAATGCATTTAAAAAGCTATGTTTTGAAGGTTTTAGTTATATGATTTATATATGCTTAACCATTTTCCTAACTTCATCATACTTCCTTATCAATTAAGGAAAAATGTCTAATTTTAATTCCATATTCAGTAGCTTATCATGCAACCAGATACGTTGAATTTGACTGATTTATGTTTTGTTTTTTTTAACCACAGAACTTTTTTCAGGGTTCTTACCATGAGATGGTATTTAAAAACTGATAAAAATTCACTTTCACAAAAAAATAATGTATACAGTTAAAATGTAAAGATCTGTTGTATCTGTGGTAACTAAGAAAAAATATTGGTGCCAAAAAATAAGTCTATTAAAGAATAGGAAAACCAGTGAACAAATATAAATTAACCATTTATTTAGGAGTTTTAAAAGGATTAGTATAATAGTATATAGAATTAACCAAAGTGGGTCAGAGATGGGGATCACATGCAGCGCTGTCAAACGTTGCTGTAAGGGATGCATAATGTTACATTACTAATGGATTCTTGACAAGAAACCTGTTTTGTCTGATAAGACAAAAGTTATAGCTCACCCTGAACTACAAGCCTTGTGGGATGCTGAGCCAGGTCCAGCTTATTTATTGCCCAGCTTGCATTTCTTCGAGTGTCAATACAAAAACCGCCATAGTAACAGTCAGGAAGGGATACAAATAGAAGAGGTGGGAAAAATGATTGGAATGGAGTGAGAAAAGATTAAAAATACATCAGAGGGATAAAAAAACTGTGAAAGACAAGAAAAAGGAGTTTGATGAGAGATGACCTTGTGCTAGCTGAGTGAATTTCCCAGGGGCTTATTGAATGTCCTGTTTTAGAAAGAAGTTATTGACTGGTTGACCTGTTACTTATTTACGTTATTGTTTACAGAGCAAAAACAGACTGGCCTTGACTCTGCAACAGAGCAATATGCTTTCTTTTTACGTCTTCACTTAAATTGCCAACCCCCTTGGTTAGAAACCAGAATTATTGTTCATACATTTGCCAGGGTGCTATGCAAATGACCAAATAAATCCAGCCAAGGAAAACCAGTGATCTCCCAAATGACATAACTCAACTTCTGGATTTACAGTGTCTTAACAATGAATGTGAAGTTAGCCCACTTGCAGAAAAGTTGTCTATAAGACTGCATCTATGGAGAACCGCCATCTTATGTATTTGTACCATTCGTTTCTGAAGAGATGTACAGTTCAATTAATTTGTTAGTAGTTTTTAAATGATTAAGTGAAATATATAGGCAGAGTGAATACTCTGTTCAGTTGTTATCAAAACATGTTCTCAATAGATTTGAATTCCTGGATGTTTGAGCATTTGCTGATCAAATTAGCATATCCTGAGAGGCACATTGACTCCTTAATACAAAAGTCACTGTCTTAGATCACACATTGCATGCTGAATTTGATTTCTAGCAGTTTTGGAACAAGCATGCCACAGACCTTAAAACCTTTATATCCTACACACTAACTCCTGTCAGCATTAAGTTGAAAGATATATATGTACCCTGAATTATTTAGACTGTCACTTATGCATATTTAATGCAGCAGTGTCCTTTTTCCCTTTTATTGCACAGTGAAATACTACTGTCTCCTTCCCCACACCCAACACTCTGATTCATAGCTTTCTTTTTGGAGTTGAATACAAGCTCAGCATGGACACATTATAACAATCAGCAAGCACACAGAGGTGGAATTCACTATCTACAGTCTAGATTCAGGAGGGGAGATCACAAATGTAACACAAACATAAAAAAAGTATGATCGATAGCTGTTAATGAACCAACGGCCCAGTCTACAGACTGTTTGGGTTGTACTTTGTGACTGCTATTTATCTTGAAGGTAAACTACATTTTGAGGGCAGACTCTGTCCAAAGACAAAGAAGGTCATGTTTTCTTAGTTCTTCCTTTAGATATACCATTTGCTCTGGAAAAAGAAATCACTATGTAATCATCAGGTTAGATAACATCTGACATTTCCAAAACCAAAACCTATCAGCATTTATTAGTTCTAGTGTTGTGCAAAATGTACACTGCACATCTTTCTGTAGTTTTCTGATTTTTTTCGGGATTTTTTTGCAATTTACATTCACAACTTAAGCACAATTGTCATTTAGATTACATTTTATTTTAAGTAAGTCACATGTCGCATTATTCACTTGCATGTCTACTTAATGTCTGTTGACTGGAAAATAGGTCAGTTACTTCACATTGTGTCTTACACAATGGAGTTTCATTATTTCCTATATCAGCAAACTGATAGAAAATAGGTGTAAATCATATCTCTGCCTTTCCTGCATCTTTTAGAAAATAGCAAATATTTAATTGCTAAGTGAATACTACAGCTTTAATGGGGAACTAATGGAGTAATTTTTTAATGAATTAAAGACATTCTCAAAAACCTGCATAGCTTCAAGTTAACTGTACATGCTTGTCCAGTACACAAGACATAAAAACATTTGATTTAATATATTTGTTTGTTATCGACCAGTTGTAATCAGGTGAACTCATGATTTATACAATGCTGGTCATTTGGGTGAAATTTGAACCATCCTGTAAGGTGTTAAACCTCAACAGTTTAATTGATTTCTAGTTAAAGAATAAATGTTTTGTTGTAGTTTTCCACATTTCTTAATTTCTTTGTTAAATGCTCATTTTTGTCAAGAAAATATTAAATGTAGGGAAAAGATATGCATTAATTTCTATAATATACTTGTGGGTTTCAATTCTATGGGCCACTGTCTCCATTTTGAGTTGGTCATGATAAATTGGCCATGAGAATTTCATATATTACCTCTGTAACAGAAATTTTGGGATAAGTCCAATATATGGATGAAATTGGAATGTCAAAACATTGACATGCCAAATCTTCAGCTTCTTCTGCTTACATGACCTGTATATGTGACCCATCTCCATTTTTCTGTCCAGTCATGAGTGCACAGGGTTTACAAGCCAAGGATAAAACTGGCTCCAGTGATCCTTATGTCACCGTCCAGGTGGGCAAGACCAAACGCAGGACAAAGACCATCTTTGGCAACCTCAACCCGGTCTGGGATGAGAAGTTCTACTTGTGAGTGATCTCTATTACTCTCTTTACATTTTCCTGACCTTGTGATCTCTACAAAGAGTGAGTGACTCTTAATAGGGAGCTGAAAACACACCAGCTGCTAGGCACACTTGTTGGAAAATAGCTTTTAAAATCAATTTCAAATTTCCTGGTCACCTCCATGTCTTCCCTTCTTTCTTTTGCTTAGGTTTTTCATTCTCATACACACAGTAACAGATGTTAGATGCACTCCTCAGTAATCTAATCTAAAATGAACTTATTTTTTCAAATTTCCGGGAGACCACACTGTGCAATGAATTGCTCTTAAATGAAGGGCTTTATGAATCCTGTGGAGTCTTGCTATACTTACCCTAACAGCTCTTGTTAACCTTTTAGAATGTAACTTACGACACTTGAGCACTTTCACACATTTAAAAAATGAAAAGATCATATACCATGACAATAAAGTAAAGTTAATCAGCCAATCTGCAAGGGTCAAACCACTTAACACTATGCAATGTCATCAGTTTTGAACCAGGAGCAATCCAGGCTTCTTCAGGCTAAGGATTTGGATGTAAGGTTTTGTGTTATAAATGATATATTGTGAATTTTGTACAGCTAAATTGTTTTTAATTGTTGGTTTAAAAATAAATGTTTATTTAGATATTTTTTTTGTTATTTAGATTAGACATTTTCCAAATATTAGATATATATAAGAAAATGAATCCAATAAACTCCTATAAGAGTGAAGGTTTAAACAAATTTCCATTTATTTCACTAAATTATTCACTGAAACCCACTTCTTTCTAGATGTGACACCAGAGAGAAACTTTTTAAGGATCAGGAAAGTTTTCTCTTGTTTATCTAAACCAAACAGAGAGAAGCTAATAAAGTTTATTTCACATTTTTTCTCTGCTCTATTCCTTGTTGGTACCAGCTCATGAACTCATGTATCACAATGAAAGATTTCTATCCATAAATGTCTTTATTATAACCCCATTTAGTGTCCTGGAGTTTTCCATAATGCTCCCATCGTAAGACTTTAAATTAATGCATTTATTAAATATTAATAAATTGTGCACAACTGAGATTTTCCTAATACTTGTGTTTGGACTAGGCTCCATACCTGTAAAGAGACTCCTGTGGAGGCTGTAATAAAACTCTTTCCCATTACTACAGGGATGTAGATTAATAGAGCGATACATTACTATGTGCTTGGCAGTGAGTCTTGGTCTTGTGCCGCAGCAGCCTGTGTTTCCCCCTGAAAGGGATTAGTTAAAGTAAATACAGCAGATATTGTTTCGCTGGCTGTCACGCAGAAGACATCATTAGAACAAAATGTAATCTGTGGATTTTAATTCGAGAGCTTAACAGCCCTACTCTATCTGATGTACTTGGGGCTCATTTGTTCTCCTCAGCAGTGTCATTATTGTAAAACGTCACTCAGCTGCATATAGACATGACCATAGTTGGACAGTTTACATTTAAAGTTAATCCCTTCTGTGACAAAACTAGACGGACAGAATGAAGACAAACATTCAGAATAAGACCAGATTCTTTGCAAGAATTGGTCTGCCCGTGATATTTGGAGAAAGGTCTGCGTATACATCTATGCTTGAGTGGTGACTTACATTGACTTCTGCTCTGCTGGACACCATAACCTGATGAGCTGCCACAGAGATGCTGCCACAGCCTTACAGTGTTTATGTTGTTGTGATCATTTTAACCTGGCATAATCATCCTCTGTCTCACAGTGAATGTCACAATGCAACTGACCGCATAAAGGTGCGTGTGTGGGACGAGGACGATGACATCAAGTCACGAGTGAAGCAACATTTCAAGCGGGAGTCAGATGATTTCCTTGGTCAGACCATTATCGAGGTTCGCACGCTCAGTGGAGAAATGGATGTTTGGTACAATCTGGGTGAGTTGCGTTTGATCTCAGAGTTTTCATGATCACTTTGCAGTCAAACAGGGAGACAGTGTATGAGGTTTTACTTTGACACCAAAAATGACAAACCTTTTGTTCATTTAACAAATGCAGTCTAATGCTGTTGAATTGCATTTGCTGTCAAGAAATGAGACACAAAATTACTTTATTAGATATGGCTTAAAGCTGTGTTTTGTCAACCTTTGTAGCACAGCTTTTGTTTTTGGAAAAAGAAAAAAGCCTTTCACATTATGTTATTAGTTAGTATATGAAGATTTGAAACGTCTCATTTTGTTTCCCAGATTATCACACTGCATGGTTTACACTTGAATATTATACTCATTTCCCTTTTTAGTCAGCGGTTTCTGAGTATCTGCAATCCAGTAATGATCATTGTTACCATATACCAGTGCTGTGTGTCACTGTTTCCACTCATTGAACTGTATAATGACGAGGGAACCCACCTGTGTTAAACTGTAATGACAAGTGGATGCTGCCTTTGTTTGCCTCTTTAGCTAAGAGGACTCATTTTGTGGTAACAGTGACCCCCTGCCCACTGTCGCAGCTCTCTGCCTTTTCAAAGGTCCACAATGATGTTTAAAGAGATTTTTGGTGGTGTGGTAGTCCACACCTCGAGCTGCCTTTCTCTCAAAGCTTCTTGAACAGCTCTTTAGGGCTTTCACATTTGCAGCACTATTCCAAGTTCTTTTATAATTTTACTATTTTTCGCTTTTCTATCTCTCGACCAACTGCCTATTGAGGGAAATTACACTCATTTGACAATAAAGAGATTGACTGAATGCGAGAGCTCAGAGAAGTGCCATTTAAATCCTCTACAGCTCATCCATCATAACAATAGCTCTTAGACCTGTGCATAAGTATTCCTGCCTTTGTGTATAGTGGTCATTTGTGGTAATTTGTGTTAATATCATCATAATTTCACATAATCCCCAAGTATTGGACCTTTTTTCTGAATGTCCAAAATAGTTTTCCTTGGTTGACAATGGTCACCTATTACTTACTCAAGGCTTTATCCTTTTTGTGAACTCAACCTAACTTTAGGCATTCCTGTGATGTTTCAGGACATGGGAGATTTGGAAAACAATGTGTAGATTTTTATGTGACTTCTATGTGCAATTACCTTTTCAGATGACAATGCCTTTTTGTTTTTTGTGTTACAGACAAAAGAACAGACAAATCTGCAGTATCTGGTGCCATCAGGCTAAAAATCAGTGTTGAAATGAAAGGGGAAGAAAACGTGGCTCCTCCTCATGGCCAGTACACCTGCTTACATGAGGTAAACAGCATAATGTGTCCCAATACAACAGCATAATGTGACCCAATACAATTATATAATATAGTTGTTTCACCAGTCCAGCCATTTTTAGGTGATGAAGCATTAACTTTGTACACAGCTACAGCCTTTGTAAGGGTCATCATCAGTGGATACACACCACGTCTGCTTATATCTTGTTCCACTCACAGAACCTGTTCCATTGCCTGACTGAGGTAAAAAACAGCGGGGTGGTGAAGATCCCGCAGGTGAAAGGGGACGACGCATGGAAGGTCTACTTTGACGACGTGTCTCAGGAGATAGTGGATGAATTTGCCATGAGATACGGAGTGGAGTCCATCTATCAGGCTATGACGTTAGTACCACCCTGATCTATGGCCTTTTACCTCCCCAATCTGTCATTGTCTCATTGGCCAGAGTGGAGGAAAGAAGGGGATAAGAGTAGGAGAAGAAGAGTTGTAAAGATGTCTTCTCAGCGGAATCAGAGCTTCAAAGACTATCGAGCACAACCGTTTGATTGATTAGTTGTTGGCCTGTTGGAGAAAAATCGTATCCAGTGCTGGTCATTCTGAACATGGGGACACGCACGCTGCATTGTTCCCCTTCTTTTACTTCACATTTGATTCTCTGCCCTCATCACAGAATGATTTTATTGGGAGTTGTTTGGAAAGGAAAGCACCACCAGATTGTATATTTTAGAGTCTCCCTCTCAGAAAATGCACTTGTTGGGCATTCCCACACGCTGAACACATAATTGGCTGCTGCCTAAGTAAATAATACACTAATTACACCCTGATTGTTTTGGTAAATTGAAAAGCAAATTCAAAACAAAGTTGAAAAACAGATTTAAAATTATCTTTCACCAATAGTAAATTCTAATTCATCGAGATTTCAGACATATTGCGTAAAAAACAAAGGCCCTCCCTAGAAGTAAGAGCAACCACTACAACACCAGCCCCAATGTATAATGAATATTGTTGACATCTCTCATCGGGTGATAGGTCATTGTTTATAAAGGATTGTGGGGTTATTTAAACGCAGAGAAGAGAAGCAGTAAGTGGCCTCATTACCAGCTTTATCAGGTGGAGTTAATGCTTCAGGCTTGAACCTTGTTTAAGCGTACAGGTTCTCATACCAGCGCTTATTATGCTCCATCAGGAATTTATGAAAGGCCTTACTTTTCTGCTTTTCTCATCAAACCTTGGCACTCCTGGCATGACGGCTGCATAAATCAAAGCAGCTACGAGGACTCACTCTCCCTCCAGTGCCCTCCATAACAATGGCCAACATACATTCCCACGTGTTCGTATTTCCTCATCTCACTCCATCAGCACTCCCTCGCCCCCTTCACCGGCTACCCCTAATTCTCTGCCCTCATTTCTCATAATCTTATCCAAATTCTTCCCTGCTGTCATAAACTGTAAAATGATATGTGAATGCATGCATAGTACATCTTGTCCGTTGGTAAAAAGAAAAAAAAAAAGCAGGGTAGCATTAGGTAACACAATGCCTCTGCTCTTGAAAATTGGCTCAAGAGATCATGCTCTAAAAGCACCATGGGAATTCAGCGGATGCCATCATCACTCTCTTTGCATCACTCTCTTTGCTCGCCCAACCCCAAGTGCTCCTGGGTAATTTGGAGGCTGAAAGCAGAGTAATTAAATAGGCCTCCCAATGAGCGCATATTTGTGTTTGTGTCAATGTGTGTGTATGTGTACGGGTACATGGCTCCATTTAGGAAAGAGGGTAAAACTGAAATCCTTTCTCCTCACAATTCTGTGTCTTTATGAAGCAATGACTCACTGTGTAAGATCTTCTTCATTTCAACATGTCTTTGTCCAAGCCTAGCTGCCATATTTGACAGATATATTGTCAAAGAATATTCGAGGAAAATCCCATTCGATTACATACATGTTCAAAAAAGGCAAGAAGAATGAGCTCTATATTTATAAAGGTCAACATTGTTGTGCCGACTTTAAGATCACAGTTTTATTTATTATAAAAGAGTCCAAAAAATTATATATTTGGTTGTCCTGGGTCATACCAGAGACAGGTGACAAATCTCTGATACCTCACATGTAAAATTGAGCCTTCTTGTTCTGAATAGAGGAGAATGGAGAAAATCCATCCTCTTTTACATGCCGGTTACTGCTGAGTGATTGGGCAGGAGGGTTTCCTCGTGGTTTGTGAGGTAGCAGCTTCAGGTGTTAAGATCAGTATCTACTCTCCAGTGCAGTAATCCCTGCTCAAACCCAGCTTTGGGTTCCAGGGCTCAGTTGTTGCTGGACGGAGCTGCTGCACTTGTGTGTTATGACAAATGGGGAGATCATGGTTTTGCATTTGAGAGTTTAATGAAGGCAATTACATTTGCTTAAGTCACTTGAAGATGCTTCACTTGACTCATGCAAATCCAGCCCTCTTCTGCCCCAACAGATGAACATCAAACAATGACCTCACTTGCAGCAAAATACTTTCAGTACAGTCTTGCATACAGATGATCTCCCACTCACACCTTGGACCACCTAGCAGTTCCCATATGAGCACACATGCTAATGGGAGTGCAAAAGGTTTAATGCCTTGGATTCCACCAAAAGCCAGTCAGAGGTGAAGAAGCTGTTAGATGAGAAATGTCTATTTTCTTTTCCTGGCTGTCTACATATAACAGAACCTTTTGTTATATTTTGTTATAATTTAAATGTTGATCCACTTCCTCTATTACTACTACATCCATTACTTTACAGATTTATGTGGTAGTGCCACTGGTTTTACAACTTTGATTTATGACATAATTTGTTCAATTGGTCAATGAGAGCACTTTTGAAATATGGAAAACAGGGGTGGATGTCTTATGTCCTCACCACTGAGAAAATTATCTGGAATATATTTTTTAAATGTCTCACAGCTGCCAGAAGGCGAAAAGAATAAATAGTTTTTCTGAATATAAAACAACTGATTACTTTTTATTTCATATATGCCTGTGTTATTGTATGAATATTGTATGTATATTGCATGTTGATTTGGGTAGTGTATTTTTGGTTTTTCTAGGTCTCTCTCTGTCTGTAATTCTTACTCTCTGAGCCACCAACTGTAGGATGACAGCTGTTTTTCTCCCCTGCAGACATTTCTCTTGTCTATCTGCCAAATACATGTGTCCTGGTGTGCCAGCAGTGATGAGCAACCTACTTGCTAATATCAATGCCTATTTTGCCCATACAACCACCACCACCACAACTACTGCCTCTGCCTCTGACCGATTTGCTGCCTCTAACTTTGGGGTAAGTCCATTGATTCATTTGTATATAATTTGCATTTAAATATTTTCTACAACTGAAATAAAACTACTTTTAGTAACTGTTTTCACTGAACTGTACACTTAAAGGTAAGACGGTGTCACTGGTCTTACGGTGGTGCTTTCCAGTCAGAATTATAATATATAAAGGCAATGAATTGACATATGCCATATTTTATTATTTGGGCACAGTGCTTTGGGTGAAAACTGAATTATTAAATTCTTGTCCTAACAGAGGGAGAAATTTGTCAAATTGCTGGACCAGCTACATAACTCATTGAGGATTGACCTGTCTAAATATCGGGTAAGAAATTTGATTAGTTGTGTGTGAGGAATAAAACTTCACATGTTATAAATGCTTGTCCATATATAAATGTCCACATAGGGGCCGTTGTGGAAGTGCTAAGGGTCCTTATAGTCCAATGGGCAAACCTTTTCTACTTTATGGTGCTGTCTGGTGGTGATTCATGGTGATTCAATTAAAACATGCCCACACAAACACTAACTCACACACAAACAAACAACCCCCCCACACACTGGCTTTAACATATACAGATTGATATGAGTTTTTTTTACTTTCTGGTTTGGGTGCTGTGCTTCATGAATATTCTAAACAGTGCTTGTTATTGGAGCCAAAATCCAGACTTGTCTAAGAGGAGATAGGTAGGATGCAAGATGGAAACGAGGCAAAAAGAAGGAAGTTGTTTGTGTAAATTATTCGCACAATCATCATGGGAAATGTGGGATCACTGATTAGATAGATGAATCTGAAACTCTGACAAGGACACAGCAGGAATATCGGGGAGAGGAACGTTTATTGTTTTGCCAAAAAATGACTGCAGGAATAACCAGCACATTGGAACATAAAAAGAACAAAGAAATATCAGCATCTAATCGATAGTCCTATTTTACATTGGGACAGTATTTCCATCAAGAATAGCTTTAAGCCACTTGTGATTACAAGGTAAAGACTATTTATGACAATCATATCACAGGACAATGTACTCTGCGTTCATTGCTTTGTGAACAAGTTAATCCAATGTAGTGGCAATCACTGTAAATACTGACGGTTTTTATTGATTCTGTTACACAGGAGCAGGGATATATTGATCCAAATCTATGAATGATTTATTTGATGCTATACTACTAGTATTGTTGAATTGGTCATAATCATGCTTTCAGTATTTTGTGGACTTACTCTTATCTGCGGAACATTTCTTTATTAAAACTGATCTACAAAAATGTTGAATGTTCTCACACTTATTAGCCTTTGCAGTATGATATCACTTCATATGTCATTGTTTGTTCTGTGATTGTTGCTAAATGGTGAGCCTCAGGCAGCATTTCTGTGAGCTTAATTGCAGTGTTTTTTTTTCTTTAGAATTTTCTATTTGATTTGTTGCAGCAATAACAAAATATAGCAATTTTATATATATATATATATATCATTACAATGCACTGTCAGACAATAAGACGTGTGTCCACACATGTTGTATTTGTCATGTTTGCCTCCCTTACAGATATACGTATACCAGATGAGTATGTTTGGTTTAATAGGTCAAACAAAATAATTTTTTTCAAATTCATCCTAAAAATTATTGATCAAATGATTTTTCCAATTAGATATGTAAAGACCATAGCAGTTAACAGTAATTATAGAGGAAGTTTTTATGTAATAAATTCATTCAGGTAACTTTGTTTTGATCATACTCTCTCACCTGACCCTGGGGGCTTCCTTACTGAGAAAAACTGTGAAAGCTAAACTCTTTTAAACTCTGGTAACATAGCTCATGATCTTCCAAATCAAATAAAAAAAAAAACCTAATCTTGTTTGTGATTACTCACACACAGGCGTTCAGAAAAATTATGGAAATTTGTCCCTTTTCATTTCTGGCCATGTGGTAAACACATGCTTTGGAGTGCAGATATCAACACTGCGGCGTACACACACATCTCCACTCTTTTGTCCTGCTGACAGCTTGACATAGTGGATTGAACCTGAAAGATGACCCACTCACTTTTAATGTGACAGGAAAACGTTGAGTGGATGATTGCTTTTTGTTCTTCTGTTCTTTACCACAGCTCTGTGTGAAACCACAGGTGATCACAGAGACACTCCCCAGAAGCAGCGGATACCGTGAATGGATGAAAGAAAGGAGAGAGAAAGCGTATAGAGTGATTGATGAAGGATCGCTTTTAAAAGGAGTGATAAAAAGAATTTGGAAAGAGGAATTTGAAAAAAACAAGCAGAGAGTTTGTTCATGAGAAGATTTAAGTGAAGGAGAAAGCAGGAAAACAGGAATTGGGGAAATTGATTAAGAATGAAAAGTAAGGGAGAGTGACACGGAGGGAGAAAGAGTCAAGTGGAGGAAAGATGCCCTCTTTTATGGTCAGATGGCCGGGCTGTCAGGCTGTGACACATTCACAGAGAGAGCTCACATTAAATGGCATTGGCTTCACCTGCTAGTGCTGCCCTGCTGCTCGCCTGTCCGTGCTGCTGCAGACTGGTAGTTCATGCACACACATACACACGCACATATAGATCATACTCTCTCACTGCTGGTGCCATCCCACAGAGCCGAGCTGCCACTATTTCACAGTAATAAGATTCAGATCCGCCTGATCCGCCAGCTCACCGTATGGATTTCCCTATAATGACATTCTGAGGAAGATTGAGTTTGCTTTTGTAAAACAGAGGGCTTGAATCAGCAGAGAAGGAGCCGGACTGCAGCTGCCATTACAGATTTTGCTACATTTGCGTTTCGTCTCTTTCAGCTTTACTCTAACAGCGCTGATACATGGGGACACATGTATAGATGGTTTGTACTAGATGGGATTTTTTCTCTGGGTCAAATGTAACAGAAAAGTATCCAGAGCATACTGCAAGGGATTTGGGCTGTAGGCTTAGTTTGGACCATTTTATAAAAGTGATGTTAGTTCAGTAATCTCCCCTGGGAGTTGTGTGCCATTACAACAGTGTATTGAAAATTGTTATTTAATGCAAGCAATGGTTTGTTGCTCTATGTGCTTGCTGCCCTAAACAAATACAAGTGTAAGAGGATGTAGAGAGAATAATAGCTGTTCCATGCAATACTTGTGCAAGCTTTTTGTCATATTTGGTGACACTGACTGGTTAATAGAGCTTATAGAAAAAAGTCTTCATAAGGACCTGCTAAAGAAGTATTTATGCGGTTTTCGTCACTTGGCAGACAAATGTGATTTTTATCACTTTAAAGGAGAGAAATTAATTCATAGAAATTAATTAATAACAAAAGCTGCAAATGCATCAGTGCAAGTATTTGGGATTATCTTCCTCTTCTCATAGTAAAACTTGACAAAGTTCGCCTTCAGAAATGAATGGCAGTGGTATATGCCGATACACAAATAAAGCTGATATCACCTCTAACTGAAAGCACAACATAAGAAACCTGTGTCAACTGTGTTGGAAAGAAAATGGAAATATCAGAAAAAATATTTCAACTTCTCCTTTTGTTTAGCATTCCCAACTCACTGGTCTTTGTACATGCTCAGACACAATCCAGAGCCCCGTTATCATAGAATAATGTCTGCATGATCTGAAATATATAAAAAAAGCAAAAATAGCTAAGATTCAATGAGCCCTAATTAGAAGATGTACAGTATTCCAGATAAGAGTGTTGCTTAAGACAATACAAACGTTAAACCCCGGACACAGATACAACTTGAACAGCACAATATTATTGTTCTGTTCACATTATATTATCAACATCTGTATAATCTGTATTGACCGCACTTGTTTCCTGGTGCTTGAGCCGCCGGTTTTTAGCCATCAGCCTCTGAAATAAATATAGATCAAAATAAACAGTTGAGTCCTCAATTCTGGTTGTTAGTTTTTCTCTGGCTGATGAAAGTAAATGAATAGAATGATATACTTCATCAGCAAATATTAGGCAGACCAGTGAATTGAACAGAACACCGGACTCGAAATATTCCAAACCCCAACCAAGTTGGAAGTGCTTAGCTTTTTAATGTGATGACCTTATTCATTTTGATAATAGCCACTCACTACTGTCAGTGTAGCACTCAGGACAGGCCCCGGCTGAACATAATATTCAGTTTTGACCACAACAAAGACCTCAAAACTCATGAGCATCACTCACCCCTCGTCTCATCTCATAATGGACTTTCTGTCATCTTTCAGAGGCAGTGCTGATGTTGGCTCAGAGATGGATGCCTTACTTTCTTTGTTTGGTCTTTTGCTCTTGGGCAATAAATCTTTTTGCTCTCCTGTCCTTTCCCTTCGTTTTTCCACTGATAAAGGCAGAGTAGCAATTTCTAACATTGTGTTTTCAGGCGTGGTAACAGTTTGAGCCATCTAACTTGAAGTGCAATGTTTCCATAGATAGAGTTCATTGGTACACATCAGCACATATTAATAAAAACAAAATGAAAAATTCTGTCTTTTGTGGCAGTCAAAATGAGTCAGAAAGGACTTGACTTCCATGACCATAATTTGATAACTTTTTGATGTTAAGGAATCGACTAGAAGACTTGACATGCTTAAAATTTTTAACCAGGAAGTATTTCCATTCACATGTAAGATGCTGAGGTGTGCAGTCATTTCAGAAGCAAGGCATGGGTAAGACAGCTTTTATCTTTGAAAGGCAGAGAGGCAATTGTGAAAATCGTATTTTTGCATTCTGTCTCAGGTCTCTCCGAAATCCTTTTTTTCTCCTAGATGAATGTTAATGCGACTGTTAATGCCTCCTGTGGAAAACCTAGAAAGCTCTGGTTGGATTAAAATTACTGCAACATTGCAGGAGTCTGATAGTTACCTTAATTTTTCAAATTTCCCACTGGAGTCCCATGCACCTTCAGCCTATTAAGGCTGTGGAATAAGCAACACAAATATACATATATATATATATATATATATATATATATATATGTTTATGGTTAGTTATTGCTGTAAATCCAACCAGCCTCTGTTATTTTCATTGACCTTTTCAAATGTATTCAGAATTCTTTGTTTTATTTCAAACTTGTCTTTGTTGTCAAATCATGATGTTGTCTCTAATGCAAAGGGAAACTCTAATCAGGGCCTGATATGGAGCCTTCTTATTCGACCACATTCAGCAGCTCTTACAGATTTTATCTATTGACACAAATGATTTAATCTATGGTTGGTTAAATGCTCTTTATTCCCAAGACTGTGTTAAGATTGAGAAACTTGACATAGTCAGCTGCAGAACAGCCTGAGCCTTCACAAGTTGTCTGTGACACATGAATTCAAGGAAATTATAAATGACCGGGAGGAAGGCACATCTGGCTGCAAAGGCTATGAATGACTATTATCGTCCCTTTTATGGTTAACTATGGCTTTGAGGCTGAGTTGTTCTATTTATACCTTTCCAGTGTTTGAGTCGGAGTAAGTTTTATTTTAAAAGTGAATTTTTTCTAAATGTAGGTTTAGAAATTTTTCGTGAATACTACTGAAGCTGCTTTGTTTGTGAACTGTTGTGTAGCCATTGATGATGGAGCTGCTTTCTCTCAGGTCATGAAACATAATTACCTACATTTCTTGAAAAATTATTATGTTAACATAACTATTTGTTCTAAGTAAAAATCAGACACAATTTAATATGAAGTTAAAAACTGTATAAACTGTTCTGAATGGTCATGGCCATTTCAGTCTTACACAAACTGTACAGTGAAAAATGTGAGCAAACAAATTCATTTACCTGTCTATGATTGCTACATGCAAGGGAGGACTTCAAAAGAGAAATTGCTGTCATCAGCAAGATAGAGTTGTGATTAATGTCACACAGGCTCTGTTCCACTGAGAATGGAGATAGTAGAAAAGCTCTGAAAAGCCTTTTTGAGGTCAGATTTAGATATGTATATTTAAAACAATCCCTCACCTAGGAACAAATGACTTATCACTTGAACAGCTGTTTACGGAAATCAGTGATGTGAAAAGCAGTGATGCAAACAGCCATTTATCCCAAGCTAAAGAGGAAGAAGCAGTCTTGCATTGTTTTTCATATATCTTTTTTTATATCAGGAGCTAAATATAGTATATATGCTTATGGTGGATGTGGCGAACATGTCAAGCGTGTTGCCTCGAGGCCGTTTGGTAAACTTTCACCTTTTTCTATAAATCACAGGCTTGGAGGAAATGAATGGTAATTGCAGTAAACTGCAGACTGTCTGTGAGTTATTAACAGTCAAACCTTATTGTTCTGTTTTGGTTTTTAAATAGTTTTCCAGGTTACGTTCATCTGTGGTTTCTTAAAACCTCTGTCTGTTTTTGTGTTTATTTTCTGCACCTTGTGTATTTCATTCACTAAGTAAAAATGCTCACACTCTGAAGATGTCAGATGAGTTTTGCTTCAGCTGATAAGCGATGATCTCAGATTGCTTTTGTTCTTGTGTTGTCAAGCCTTGAGGCGGCTGTTAAGAGTTGGCTCAGTTTTCTCAGTCCCTGATGTGCGGTTATTGACAGGACCGAGGAGAGATAGAAAACAAGCCAAATTTTATTAGAGCTGAAAGAGAGTAGGAGAAGTAGGATAATGTATGGAGCAGCCATACCTTTTCTCAGAGCTGTCAGGCCTTTAGATGCTCCCCGTCACGCTGCTCTGCACTACCTGATGACTTCATGGCCCTGGAATAGGTGTTTTCATCATCAGATATCTCCCCTTACTACTAAACGATTGGATAGACCTTAATTTTGTTTTTGATCGCTAAGCATTTCTTGTTGATAAATTTCTATGCTATGACCTACGAGATGTAATGTCGTTTTACAGTTATGTGAAGCTGCTACCAGCTCAGTGTTCTCACTCATGTGCTTTTCTACTGTTTTCATTCCAGGACAATTTCCCTGCCGGAAACCCTGAGCGTCTCCAAGACCTGAAGTCCACGGTTGATCTACTAACCAGCATCACATTTTTCAGGATGAAGGTAGAGTGCATGTTTGTGTGTTCGCCGGATTCATGCCTGGACTTGCAATTAACTATGTAAAATGCGAAAGGGCAGCATCAAACTTCATTTTAGGGAGATTAAAAGGACACAACTGAAGTTTATGTGTAGCAGCTTAAAAAGCCGCCCGCACACAGAACTAGTGTGTTCTGATCTCACTGACCAGTAAAATGTGAACATTGGGTCATTGTCATTAAATCTCTCCACATTCAATAGCAGATATATGATTATTTAGGGTAAAATCAATTTAGACACATAAATCTCTGTGCCCCAACTCCTGCAAATCTATTGGCCATTAAAGGTCATTTATTGTAACATAATTTCATGCACACAGCAAATGGCACGGTGGCTCTGTCTTTGTGTGATGAGCTGCATCCACATTATACCTCTATGTTCAGCAGGCTTCCATTACTGCCATGTTTCTCTCCCTCCTCTGGCACGTACATGCACGGCTCTAACAAAAGCTCGGCTCCATCCATCTCTCTTTGGTGTGTGCGCTGAAGCACTGAGGCGTAGCTAAGATGGCAGCTGTGTGCAAAGGAATGAACGCTGTCACTTTAGGTCAACAGAGCTTTCATTCTGCAACATATGCATGCTTAGCCCTACTGTGTATACGTTATGCTCCACTACTCAGATGGTACAGATACAGTGTTATTATAAGATAACCTGCATGTGCATCTAAAAGCTGATTTTGCTGCATTTTAATTTTGTTTATGTATTATGATATACAGAAATGGTTTGACAGTTTTTCTTTAAATGCTTTAGAATTTATTGGATTTTGATTCTGAACTCTTTCAAGATGCATTTATTTAAATTACAGACATGTTGGACACTGTAACCAGCATTGTGTCAGAATATATAATTATTTTGCCTCAAACAACATACACTGTTTAGATTACTGACTGATGATTTCTCCCCTGAAAATGTACTGACTGGCTTTTAATTGTGTTCATTTAGGTGCAAGAGCTTCAGAGTCCACCCAGAGCCAGTATGGTTGTAAAGGACTGTGTAAAAGCGTGCCTCGACTCAACATACAAATACATCTTCGACAACTGTCATGAACTGTACAACCAGCTTCTTGATCAGGTAATATTGTTAGTTATTTAAACTTATCAGGTCAAAATGTTTTGGCCGTTTTTTAGATGCTTGATCATTTTCATATTTTGAAGACAAGACCATCATTGCCTTGCCCAAAGAAAACACCTTTTATGTCTAAGAATATTGTTTTTTGCATGTCATCTTCCAGATTAAGTAATTAAACAACTCATTCAAGTGATTATGTATTTGAATGCTTCAGTACTCAAATACTTAATACTTGAATTTGTGCTTAAATTTAAATACTTGTACTTGTGCTTGAATTCACAAGATTACACTTATTTCAGTGGATTCAAGCACAAATACATTTCATCTAAAGTCATTATCTTATAAGAAGATAAAAATGTGTAGTAGTAGAGAAAAAATTATAATCTTAACTTGAGAAAAACAACATCTTCTAACAAGAACCAAAAAACTAGAAAACGGAATGCAAACCTAGAAAGGACACTTAACACCTGCAGGGCAGGCAGGGTAACACTTAGATAAGACTCACATATGATAAAGATCTGGCCAGGAATAGAACAGACACAGAAGCCTATGTAGAGGGAAGTTCGATTACTGAATGAAGAGCAGGTGACACAGTGAACACAGGTGAAGAGTGCAGTTGATAACACAGCATATCAGGGAACTGAAGTCAGTCGCAAGAAACACAGGAAACAGACATCACATAAAACAGGAAACTAAGACTCCAACCCTAACCGAGAACACAACCGAAACTAAACAAAACCCAAGAACCCTAACACTTGGACTAGGGACTTGCCTAGAAAATGAGCTTTATAGTAGCAAACACTCTGTCAGGAATGGTAGAATATGTTTTTATTATATCCAGTTTCAAGCTTTATATCAAGCTTTCTTTTGTTTCTATTGCGAGGTTGTTAAATCCTTCCAACCACACACCCAGCAGGTTATGCAATAGTTTAAATGTAAGTTTTTAAAATATAAATTAATAGCTTTTAAAATAGCTATTGATGGTGCATCTTCTTTTTCAGCTTTAGTGATCTGTGTATTGATGTGTGACAATGCATGGGAAATATAAAGTATAGCTGAAAAATCAATAGCCTATATATCCTGACTGACATTTACCAAACAATAAAATGTACAGCCTGGACAACTTTGTGCGAAAAGAAGAAGGACCTTCTGCAGCTGATACGCATGCAGCCAAGGATCACACAGTGCTTTTCCAATGCAGATCATAAATTTGTTCCAGGTCTTTAACAGATATCAAAGATTTCAGTTTGAATTATATAATACCCACGTATGAATGTATTAGGAAGCACTGCATACTGATAAAGGTCTGTCATTTGAAATCAGGAGAAAAATAAAAGCAATGCAAAAATTCCCTGTCATTGTCAAACACATGAATATGTTCTTGTGCTGCCTTTTTTTTGGTCTCAACAGTGTATATAATCAACAGGCATCTCTACCTGATTATTTTACAGTTAACATCCCGAGAAGAATAGTCTCCATTTGAAAGAGATACTGTCTCCTTTGGTTGTAATAGGGTGCAATCTCTTCAAAAGTTGAATAATAAGCTTCCTGAGTTTAAACAGCCTGAGGGGTTGTAAGCAATTACCAAACCTGTTAGATAGACACTTGCTCTAATTACATCCTCAACCACTACAGTTTCACATGAGACAGCTTCTCCATCAATATTCCCTGCATTAGAGAAAAACACCAGTTCTATCCACAAATATACCTCTCTGCAACTATAAATTATTCCATTCACATTCGCTAGGTAACCTTTAACACTGCAGATAGAACAGATCTCGGACCTCAATTCTTCAGTCACTAACTATGACTGAGTGCAGCGACACAGGGGCTGACACGGTGGCCAGGCGAGCCGTGAAATATCCCAGCTACTCTGAGGCAGCTTGCGTAACGTAGCAGCAAAGCTTCCTGCCTGTGTATAAGATGGTGGAGGGAGGAGCGGCAAGGGGGAATCAGGAAAACAGGAAACAGTTTCTTAAAGACTGGCAGTAAAGCAAGGATGGTAATAATAATTTATATAAAAAACAATTTTAAGGAGATCAGAGAAAAAACAGAAAAGGAGAAAAAAATGCAAAAGGAAAGACAAAATATTGACCTCGATTTCCCCATGGGTACCTACTTTGAAAGGCTGCTGAACACTCACACACAAAAAATGGATAGCAGATGCACACTGTGCCTATTGTTCAGAGGAACCAAAGAGCCAGAGGAACTCTCCACTTACACAGCTAAACAAAGACACCATTTGTTTTCCCAATGTGTTTGTTGCCCACAGATTCTGCTTTGTTTGCTTGAATTTCTTAAAAAAACCTATAGAAATTGTGTAGATTTAAGCATGTAGGGACTAGCATTTTTTTTTAAAGGTGACTTGGAAAAAATCGCATTGATAATATAATCCTGTTAGATGAAAAAAATACATTCAAATTTAAGAACCTACTGATAGTCTCATAGTCAGTACAACCTGCTCTCATTAACTTGAAAATGCTCTCCGAGATTAATCGGAAGTGTGAGCTGGGTTTGACTAATTGGTATGTATAAGTACTTCAGCAATTTTCAGTTCACAATGTCATGAGAAAATAGATAATGCAGAAATACAGTAATTGAGCAGTTTGTGTGAGGAATCAACACATAAGTCAGAGTTCTGAGTGATTTGTACATGGATACAGCTCTCCTCTTATCTTTTCAGGACTTATGGATAGGTAGCACAAATGTTTAGTTGCTATGTGAAGGGACAGACTCAGTATTGAAATATGAGAGCATACATATGTGCAATTGTGTGCGCTCATAATATTCCCACAGCATGTAAAGGAGCTGTCTTGTTCATTGAATCACATAAGGTTCTATTTCGGACATTTTTTATATAATTTATTCTGACGGAGTCCAAAAATTCAAAGGATCACCAACTTTTAATACACTGTAACACAACATGCACACCTCCGACATACATTCACCCTAAATTAAAATTTGTGACGGCATTTTCAGTTCTACCTCTCTGCTCACGGCTCATACTCATGGGAATTTGATTATATTCTCAGAGAACATCCCTCAGAGACTCAGGCATTTGTGCCACATTGTGAGAATTGATGGTGCCCGTCATATGCTAATACAGATTTCTCCCACACAGGGGCCAAACGTGCTAAAAAAAAATAACCAAAGACCACAGGCCTCCCTCTTGACGAGGAGTTACATGCTGCTATGAATATTTTGGCGCTTGCCCGCACCAATTTGTGCACCCAAAGTAGTGAAACTAAGCTGAAGTCTTTGAGATGAGGATGAGGATGAGGACGAAGCCCATGGGTGTGTTGCTGGCTGTGTAAAGACAGCAGGCTACTCAATCACCTTTGACAATGCATGTGTTTCTACTTGAAATGAATACAGATGAGCAAAGGGATTCTAGGCCCCCTTTTAGTGGGATGCGCACCTCATTCAGTTTTTATAGGAATGACACAACCTTCACTGTCCTTCATGTGTTCATGTTGTTATACGTGCACGCGCACACGTACACACTAAGAGCACTCCATAGCTGACTCCTGCAGAGACATTTCTTTTATTATTCATGTCTCCAGTTTAAGAGGAATGCACCATCCAACATGTTTTATCAAAGAGTGTCTCCCCCTTCGTGATCCAGGTTTCTCTCACAATAGCCTTTTGTCTTCTATGTCAGAATTATCATTAGTTAAAAGAAAAGAAAAACATGGACAAGTGAATGCAGGATGACTAAAGCAGCATGTGGCAATTAAACGCTTTGGTCAATATGAACCACGTTAAGATCCGTTGAAATACGGTGTAATCCTCTCTAATGTCTTTGAACAAGATAACAGAGCCAAAGCCAAATGATTAGTGATTAGTCGAAGCCTGGAGTGACATGACCAACTGTCACAGGATGAGCTGAAAGCCTGATATGATCTATATTTTTAGTTCCCGTGAGATTTGATTCTGAATTAGCTCCAAATGTCATGGTGATACACAAAAGCATGTGATACTCCACATCAATATATATTTTAAACATAATATGGACAATCTAGTGCCTACTCGATGGTCGAAACAATTGTTGTCCTTTAGAGATAAATGGACTCATTTAACAAGCTTGACAATATTGTATAGACGTTCATGCTGCACTAAAGTCAATACGCTGGTTCCTGTTAGATAATTTAAGATAAAGATATTATTCTTGTCAGAATTATCTTTTATAAGAAATACTGTAGTTTATCAGCCGTGAACACATTCAGTTGGAGGGTGTATTGCCACATTTCACCACTCTGCATTATATTTGTTATTGTCAGTGTGCATAAATGCAAATGTTTGTTTTATCTAATTTGTAAACAGATTTTTTTTCTGAGTTTTTTGCTGTTTGAATTTTGTAATTATGTGCTTCTATCAGACTGAATGACTTGGATGGCTACTTGCGAGCAGTTTGGCCCTGCGTAGCATGGGGTGAACAGATGGTAGAGCCAGTCAGAGCTTTTGGATTCAACAACTATCACCTCGGCATTGAAATCTAGATTTCAGCCCAAGACTGTGACATGGATACACATTTATTAGTGCACATACTGGAGATACTTTGAAATGAATTCAAATGGTGTAATCCTTAACACAAGACAGATTATTTTAGTGATGGTAAAGAGTATACTATGATATACTTATGTTATAGTCAGGCTGTATTGTTAGTACTCATTGCAGTTCAGAGGAATCATGCAGGTAATTATGAGAGCGTTTATCTGGGAATATGTAATAGGTTACACTTCCTGTGCTTTATTCCTTAATCTGTCCAGCACTTTTTATTCTGTACAGACAGCAAATTATTGGAATTTCCTCACAGAGTTAATTCTAGCAGCCACTCTGCCACTCAATATGGACACTTTGGATTAGTACCAAAAATGTCAGAGTTTTCCTCTGACAACTTGGGAGCTAAATCCTCAATCCAAGTATATCTCTTTAAAACCTAACTTTTTCCGATATAAGTTTTCTGTTTCTTACCAATTGCTGCCAAAGTTAGCCAAGCAGAGTTTTCGTATGGTCTCCTCTCCCTGCTTCCTAATTCCACCCAAAAAATTTGGAGAATGTGGAGAATACACCACACCGTTATGTGATAACAAGTGGTATTAAAGTGGGTGCAAGGTTAAGTTTAAACTGTATATATAAATTCAGTCATAGGTGCAATCACCATTTTTGCTTTTCTTATTAAAATGTAGGCATGTTACGTTCTGCTTCAACTTCAACCATGTCCTTAAACCTGCCTTCTGTCTTCTGCTTCTGCCTTCTCTCTGTAGAGCCGAAAGCAGGACCTTCCGAGAGAGGAGCAGGGTCCATCCATAAAGAACCTGGATTTCTGGCCAAAACTCATCACTCTTATGGTATCTGTAATCGATGAGGACCGCACAGCCTACACCCCCGTAATCAACCAGTATGTACTTCCTCATTTTACTACAAATGTTTTGCCAAGAAATCTGATCAATGCATTTTCAACAATCAATTTGAGCCAACTTTTGTGATAAGAAAATGCTGTCATATTATATTTGCAGATTTTTGTTGAGTACTGATCAATTATTTAAAAACATTGAGAAAAACATTGTTTTGAAACTCTCTGACTTAAGCTTGCCATTTGGGAATTTGTTATTGAGGACTGTGTTCTAATGGTTGATATATGACAGACGGCAGTTGTTTGTTGAAATGAGGCTGCTGGTGGTGATGGTGCTGTGGCAGGAGAAAGGTGTTAAACTCTGGTTAGTATAGTAAAATAAACACAATTTATGGCTTGAGGAAAATGGGGCGTTACTTGCTGTGGAAGAAATATGATGAAGTACATTCTCTTTGTGCCTCTCTCATACGTGCCGTCCATGTTTTTTCTGCTCTTCTTGCTGATTTATGATGCTTATTAAGACTCTGTTTATGCCTTGAGCTTTCTCTCCTGTACTGAGTAATGATAGATTTGCAATATTCATACCTAATGCCCCCCTCCCTCTTTTAAGTGTCAGAATGAATGCAATTCTGATGTTTTTTCTTGATGAGTGGACATGATGCCTTCAAACAATGGGTGGTGATGCCAGAGGGAAAGATATGTCAATCTACTTTTGCTCTGCTAAGAATATTTTAAAGGGAAAAATCTAACTTTTACAATTGTATGCCTTTATAGAGATCTATAACATTCCATTTAAGATTGGAAATGCAAACATAGCTAGCATTGAAAAGTTCAAAGCATCTGGAAAAGAGCATTTCCACTCATACACTTCTTTGCTTACTTAAGAGTTAATTTGAAACCATTGACAGATATACACGTTGGCTGCAGATTTATATTCACTTTTACTATGAAGCCATTTCATTCTCTGCCGTGGTCATATTGCACCAGGCGGGTGCACGGTAAGACTGAGGAATAGCTACAGTGAAGAGCCAGACTCTGAGAGTATACATGTCCTCCCATTAATGTAGAAAAATATTAAATATAATCCCTGACATTATACATAACTTAAAATATATACACGGAAAACTAGCAGATTGGGTGCAAAATAATCTGTTATCATCTTTGTCTCCTTTTTCTTTGTCATTCCCTCCACTATTTGTCACATTCAAGCATGCATCCCAATGTCAGTCTGATTCAAATAGGTTTTTTGATTAGGAGATACACCAACCATATCCTCTTCCACATCCGTTAAGTCTTTACTAAAGATTCAAACTACCAAAGCCATCAGACCATCCACTCAAGCGTGTCATTATTCAGAGATGAGTCTGATAGGAATCTTTTTCGATTCCATCAGGTTTCCACAGGAGCTGAGTGTGGGCAAGATCAGTGCCGAGATCATGTGGAACCTCTTTGCCCAAGATATGAAGTATGCAATGGAAGGTCAGTAATGCTTATCACATCTCTTGCTAGAGGCGGTGTGTGTGTGCGTTTGGAGTGGAGTGAGAAATGAAATGATAAATGCTGATTATTAGTTAACTCAATCTCAAAAGCCAACTCAATGTTGTTGTTGCTCTAACTGTTCTTTCAAACTTCACAGAAATAAATGTTAGTGTTTACTATGTTTCACTTTATGTATTAGCTTTCCAAATGCTGGTTTCCACAGCCCCTTTTAGGTTCAGCTCTGATGCTTATTTGTATGATCCTTTTGATAACCAACATTCCACTGAAGAAGAACAGATGATATGCTTGTATACAATTTATATTGCCCGTGTTGTAAAATCTCTTTCGCAAGCAATGTTAAATGAAAATGGGACGTTTGAGGCTTAAAGTAGTTACGATTTTAGTATGGGCGAAAGTCGTGCAGGGGCGAAGGTAGATATGTTTTAGCAACTGAAACCAATGGTAAGTGGGCAGCTCTTTGAAGTGCTTGCCTTCAGTAGGCAGTCGCAGGTTGGTGGTAGTGAGTCAAAGGAATGCCTCTAAAAGTGTATCATTTTGTTGCAGCCACATAGCTTCAAATTCAAATCCATATTTTGCGTTTTGTAAGGTTTAATATTTAAGCCTAGGCTTTGTAAAAGTGGGTTACCTTTTTTATATGACAGCAGTGACAGATAGTCCCTATATTGCCTTGGGTTTTGATTTCTATCCTGACGCCATCTATCTCCAGCTTACCAGTTAGATGACAGTTGTAGCTGCTAAAGGCTGATTTTGAGGTTGGTTGCTCCTTCATCAAAAAAGGACTTCAGAAGCCGTGGTTGTGAATGAATGTTCAAAGTAGTCTAGAGCTAATGTTTTTTTCTTTTACTTTTTATACTTAAGATGCTAGCCGTCACTTATGAATTTTAATTCTGAAGTTTCAGTCAGATCTTTAGTAGCTGTTTGTTTTTATTTGCCTAATTTTAATAAATTAAACTATTTGACATTTATTTGGGTGATGGTGGAGAAGGTAGAAAGTCTGTTTAGAATGGCTGTACAAATATATTTTAAATGTCTGACAAGATCAATTTTGCATATAGTCTCATAAAGTCTGCTTAAAAAAATGACATAATGATTTTATGAGGAAAGATATTTCTGGCCCATTATTCTGAATTAAACTATCAAAAAGATTAACATGGATGATTTTAGTGAGTTGATACTTCACCATTGAAACTAACCTTACATTAAATGCAATATGCTATTATGAGAGAGGGATTATAAGTCTATACACGGATGAAATAATAAATTAAGGTGCTCTTACGTCTGTTGTTTTGACAGGTTAGAAAAACATTTTTTACATTGCAGGATTAAAAACGTATGGTAAATCAACAGAGTGTGTCCCACCTTGGTCATTGTAGGACATCCGAAAGCAACATAGAATATTTATGCAAAAACAATTGAAACAAATGGAAGATTTCAGTTGAGAATAGCTTGTGTATGTGAAAAGATACCATAATATATGTATGTATGTATATAAAGCTATGACCTACATATAAAGCTGCATAATCTGTGGCTTTTCCCTAAGAATTTCACGTTACAGTATTATATCTTTTCACATCCCTTGTTCTCACAGCAGTGAGATGAGAAAAAAGACAGCCGTGGCTGTGTGTTTTTATGTGTGCATTTCTGAGTCACGGCAGCTGGACATGTGACCACCTAGGGTGTCCCTGACTACTGTCACAGCAGGTTTAAGTGTGTGCGTCTTTGTGTTTTTGTGAAGCCATGTGTGTGATTTGCCTAAGGCTGTTCTGTGTTGCAAAAAGAGATAAGAGTCATGGATGCACTCAGTCACAAAGACCCTCTCTCTTGTTCCTTGAGCCTGAACCATTTTCCCCTGCTTTCCCTGCTCTTGTCAGTACATAACAAAACCACAGCAATGTGCACTGGGTGGAGGACATCACTGTCATGTTCCCCAAAGGAGCACTTATTTTGAACTATTGCTCATTTTCGGTTGGTTCTACTGGTAGCCAGAGTTTTGGTTCTGATTTTCTGGAGAAGAGCTTGTACTCATATCAAGTTGTATTTGCTAGTTCATAAACCATATCACTGGTTTATGTCCCATGCTACTGGAAACCCTATAACCTGTTTTACCGCATAGAGGACAGACACCGTAGTTTGGAAAGCATACATCACAGCAGACTTTTCTTTGATCTATATAAACTATAGAGAATTTGTATATCGAAATACAAATATCCACTTCCCCCAAGATGCTTTGGTGTATAATGCATTAGCATTAATGTCTGCTTATTGTGTCCAAAACTTTATAGAATAGCTCACAATTTGCATTGTGGCTTTATAGCTCATCTCTCAGTTCCTGCAATCAGGAAGTGCATCTGTAGTATTCAAAAATCGATACACAATAATACAGTCTCTGCAAATAAACTATAGAAGAACCATCAATGCATTTGTGTTGAATTTATGTACTCACATTCCTTAAGTATGTACCGTATGACCTCTGTTTTCACCAGTGTGGCAGGTACATTTATCTAGGACTGAATGCCAAATGTATGAAGAAAGAAACACTCAAGCAGGCGTGTGCGCGTGTGATTGCCTGAGCTATTCAGTCGACAAACACAATATACAGCAATATGTTTAGACCCAAGGGATACGAGTGCTTATAAATTAAAGCAGTAAAAACAAAGCAGAGTTAATTACTACATTAACCACTGACAGCATTCTATAGACGTCAGTCACAAACAATCTTTCAGCTGGACATTAATGGCTACGTGTTAATGGACACAACAGGGCCCATCTCTGTTTTCAGGAATTTTTTTAAACTTTTTGCTAAGATGGTCTCTCGTTCAGGCAAATGGAAGAAAGTTAGAAAGGTCTACTTTTAAATAAGATGGCACATAAAACTGTCCGAGCAGCTGACAGAGAGGTGGGCCAGAATGTCATGCTTAATCAGTTTGTGTTTTGTGTGTGAAGACATGTTTTTCTACCCTTTTATCCATCAGTTGTAGACGTCGACAAGACAGAATTAATGAGAACAAAAGAGGAATGTGCATCTGTATGAATGGCCTGCGTTTTACTTCATAAAGATTTTCCTTCATCCTCTACTTTTTGCTGGGAGGCCTTGTGTGCCTCTGCTGCAATGTTTCTAAATTTGGCATCTATGCTAAGATATCTTAATGTGTTTGAGAGGGGTTAAAGTACAAGTGAGAGAAGTAGGGATGAAAACAAAAAGGATGAAACGAGGGACTTAAAAAAAAAGAGGGAAGATGAAAGAGTCAGCAAATGATGGCTATAGCTGACTTCACTACTCCTTTCATTGATTTACTCGCACATTGCACAATAAAATCTTTCATCCGTATCAGTCGTTACTGTACTTTTTTATTCAAAACAAACAAGCATTTACACTTGGAATCAAGGAGCCAGCTCACCAACAAAGTTTGAATAGCTGATAGAATTAGAGATCTTACCTATATTATCAAATAGATATTGGGCTCTGACATGATAACAATTAGCAGCTGTAGCATTTTAGACTCTGTATTTTTCAATTTCGGTTGTCATTAAAGAACCAGCACTGCACTACACCTTTAACTCATCTTAAGACTGTAAGTGCAGCTTCCCTCCAAAGAAAATTCTTTTAATGTAGCTCAGCAGTGGAGAATTGTTTCCTTAGAATGGCAGCACTCACGGGGATGGGGTGTGGTCAGATGTTATGTGCTCTAATTTGGTTGCTTTGAACCACAGAAAACCCTCCTTTTTAGTATCAATTGAGTTTAAGAAGAGCTGAGGTCTTGCTGCAGGCAGTGAAGTTATTTCATACATGGAGATCTCATAAATGCTTTATAATCTCCCTCCAGTAAATTTAATACAAACTGTCAGTCCTCTGAAAAAATAATAATGTTTTATAAGTCCTTTCTTAAAGTACTTCTGCGTGTGGGTCTGTCTGTTGTTGAAAGCCTTCATTTCAATGAGATTATTGAAGTTTCTTTTAGTAATGGTTAAGAAATTGTCTACATTTTTAACAAAACCAGCATTGATTTTTTGAATAGGTAAATCATAGATTTGATTGTGGTCTGATTATTATGATTTCTTTTTGGACATATCAGCAGAAATGAGTATCTTAGCAGGCTGATGCTTTCACATAGCTGTGTCAGTGGGCCCTCGTGATGCAGCTTAGGAGGCACGTGTGACAGATCTGGGTCAGAAGCCAAGATGAATGAATTATGTCACAGAGAAATCCTTGCTGGCCTTGGCTACTTTTTTGCTCATACAACCTTCACTTAATTATTAGTACATGACCCCAATTTTTTACAAACAAAAAAGGAAAACATTTAAATGAAACAAAGAGACAAAATCCAACCTTAGACACCTCTGATTATCTTTGATCCCTCTGATGGCACGCCGTATGAAAAAAAGATTACCGTGGGATATCTTTTCAAGTTCTGCAGGACTGAGTAACATAAACAGCCAAGTAAAAAGACTTCCCTGTGCAGGAGAAAGAAGCATGATATTAACCTCTTCCAGAGGTGGTTTTGACCTCTGTGCTCTCAGATCTGTATCCAGGTCAGTTGGTACTCAGGGTCATTTTTTGAAGAAATTGAGGCTGTTATCGAAAATAAGTTCACAAGCCAGGCTATTGTATAGAGCTGTATCATTGCCCCTGACAGATGAAATTTACATTTCTTTGATAGAAGCTTTGATTTAGAAACGTGTACTGACATTGTGGAGCAGCATGTTATACTCTTAAAAAGATTTAATTTCAAGAGATGCCCATGCAATTTTATGAATTGTGATGTAAAAAACTGAATACCTTACAGAGAGAGAGATGAGTAACAAAGAGATAAGGTACTGGCCTGGCCTACATACAGCCTTAACCTGTCCTTCAAAGAGAATCTTTTGATATTGTAAAACCTACACAAAAAAATCCACTACCGATACCTTAGATTGTGTTTGTAGCAAAAAATAAAACTAACTCCGTAAAAGTTCAGTTTGTCAGTATCATTCATGCCAG